CTAGGTGTGGTGGCTCACTCCTGTAATCCCAGCACTTTGGGAGGCTCAGGTGGGCAGATCACAAGGTCAGGAGATCAAGACCATCCTCGGTAACATGGTGAAATTCCATCTCTACGAAAAATACAAAAATTAGCCGGGTGTGACGGCACACGCTTGTAGTCCCAGCTACTCGGGAGGCGAATCACTTGAACCCAGGAGGTGGAGGTTGCAGTGAGCCAAGATCATGCCACTGCACTCCAGCCTGGGCGACAGAGCAAGACTCTGTTTCAGAAAAACAAAACAAAACAAAAACAAAAAACAACAAAAAAATAAACGCCAGGACCCAATAGCTTCAGTGCAGAATTCTAAAAACATTTAAAGAACTAATACCGGCCGGGCGCAGTGGCTCAAGCCTGTAATCCCAGCACTTTGGGAGGCCGAGGCGGGTGGATCACAAGGTAGAGAGATCGAGACCATCCTGGTCAACATGGTGAAACCCCATCTCTACTAAAAATACAAAAAACTAGCTGGGCGTGGTGGCGTGTGCCTGTAATCCCAGCTACTTAGGAGGCTGAGGCAGGAGAATTGCCTGAGCCCAGAAGGCAGAGGTTGCGGTGAGCCGAGATCGTGCCATTGCACTCCAGCCTGGGTAACAAGAGCGAAACTCCGTCTCAAAGAAAAAAAAAAAAAAAAAAGAACTAATACCAAATACAAAAGTATTTGATAAAAGTCAACATCCCTTCATGACAAAAGCTCTCAAAAAGTTAGATACAAAGGGAAAACACCTCAAAACAAGGTCATATATGACAAACCCACAACCAACATCATACTGAATGGGGAGAAGATGAATGCTTTTCCTCTAAGATTTGTAACAAGACAAGGATGTCTACTTCCACTACTTTTATTCAATTAGAAGTGCTAATCAGAGCAATTAGGCAAGAGAAAAAAATAAAGGGCATCCAAATTGGACAGGAAAAAGTCAAACTGTCCCTAAAAGCAGGCTGGGTGTTGTGGTTCACACCTGTTAATCCCAGCACTTTGGGAGACAAAGGAAGGTGGAATGCTTGAGCCCAGGAGTTTGAGACCAGTCTGGGCAACATAGCAACACCTTGTCTCTACAAAGAATACAAAAAAATCAGCTGGGCATGGTGGCGAATGCCTGTAGTCCCAGCTACCTGGGAGGCTGAGATGGAAAGGCTGTGTGAGCCCGGGAGGTGGAGGTTGCCATGAGCCAAGATTGTGCCACTGGACTACTCCAGCCTGGTTCTTCTCCCTACTCCAAAAAAAAAAAAAAAAAAAAAGAAAGAAAGAAAAAGAAAAGTAAGTTGTAGGCCGGGCGCGGTGGCTCAAGCCTGTAATCCCAGCACTTTGGGAGGCCGAGGCGGGTGGATCATGAGGTCGAGAGATCGAGATCATCCTGGTCAACATGGTGAAACCCCGTCTCTACTAAAAATACAAAAAATTAGCTGGGCATGGTGGCGTGTGCCTGTAATCCCAGCTACTCAGGAGGCTGAGGCAGGAGAATTGCCTGAACCCAGGAGGCGGAGGTTGCGGTGAGCCGAGATCGTGCCATTGCACTCCAGCCTGGGTTAACAAGAGCGAAACTCCGTCTCAAAAAAAAAAAAAAAAAAAGAAAAGAAAAGTAAGTTGTAAAAGCTCCACTAGAAAATCAACATATAAAAATCAGTAGTGTATCTACATACCAACAATAAAATAGCAGAAAAAGAAATCAAGAAGGCAATCTCATTTACAATAGCCACAAATTAATGCCCTAAGAATAAATTCAACCAAGGAGGTAAAAGATCTCTATGAGGAAAAACAGAAAACACTGATATAAGAGAGTTTAGGGAAAAAATGGAAAGATATACCATGTTCACGGATTGGAAGAATATTGTCAAAATGCCCATATTACCAAAAATGATCTAGATTCAGTGCAATCCCTACCAAAATACCAATGGTATTCTTCACAGAAATAGAACAAACAATCCTAAAATTCATATGGAACTACAAAAGACCCCAGAGAGCCAAAATAATCCTGGGCAAAAAAGTATCACACTACTAGACTTCAAAATATAAGATAAAGCTATCATAACCATAACTGCATGCTACTGGCATAAAAAAAAAACAGACCTATAGACCAACTGAACAGAATAGAGAACCCAGAAGGAAATCCATATATTTATAGCCAATTGTTTTTTGACAAAGGCACCAAGAATATTCACTGGGGGTAGGGACAGTCTCTTCAATAAATGGTGCTGGGAAAACCTGATATGCATTATGTGGAAAAATAGAACTAGACTCCTAGTTCTCACCATATACAAAAATCAACCGAAAATGGATTAAATACTAAGTTTAAGACCCAAAACTATAAAACTACTACAAGAAAACAGAGCAGAAATGCTTCAGGACATTAGTCTGGGCAAAAAATTTATGGAGACCTCAAAAGCACAGACAACAAAAGCAAAAGCAGACAAACAGGATTATATTAAACTAAAAAGCTTCTGCACAACCAAGGACACAATGAATTGAAGGAAGAGAGAGTCTGCAGAATGGGAGAAAATATCTGCAAACTATTCATCTGACAAAGGATTAATATCCAGAAAATACAAGAAACAAAAAACAGCAAAAAAACACAAATAATCTATTTTTAAAAAGGGGCAAATAAGCTGAATAGCTCTCAAAAGAAGACATACAAATGGCTAACTAACTGAAGTTTTAAAATAATGGGCCTCTACAAAGGCCTTGAAGCCAAACTGCTGTAGATAGTTCTCACTGCTGCTTCCATGTTCCTTGTTTATGAGAAACTGATGGTTCCTATCTTCATAGTTATGGGGCTGAACAGTGCTAGCAAACACTGAGATGTCTTACAGTGAAAAGTCAGAACATGTTCAAGGTGGAGGATTTTCTTCTAAGTGAAGGGAAGTAATTTTCCTTTCCCTCTGGCTCCTTCTATCACAAATTTCACCCTTACGGGCTTGAAAAGCATCTAAAGGTAAACAGGAAGTATAGCAGGCTAGACCTGTTGCCAACTTAAGTTTTATGATGCATGGTTAGTTTTTGGGGTAAAAGTTGAACTAGTTTGAAAAGAAAACATTATTGAAAATCACTAATAAACTGTCGGCACAAAAGTCCATCAATTACTTAATCAACCAATCAGTCTATTCAGACTCAGAGAGAATTAAGGCCCATTAACTTGAGTAGCCTACCGATCCTATTCCCAATCTTCACTCTGGGAGGTCATTGGCTCTATTAAAACACACATACAGGCTGGGCGCGGTGGCTCAAGCCTGTAATCCCAGCACTTTGGGAGGCCGAGGCGGGTGGATCACGAGGTCAGAGATCGAGACCATCCTGGTCAACATGGTGAAACCCCGTCTCTACTAAAAATACAAAAAAAATTAGCTGGGCACAGTGGCGCATGCCTGTAATCCCAGCTACTCAGGAGGCTGAGGCAGGAGAATTGCCTGAACCCAGGAGGCGGAGGCTGTGGTGAGCCAAGATCGTACCATTGCACTCCAGCCTGGGTAACAAGAGCGAAACTCCACCTCAAAAAAAAAAAAAACAAAAACACATACAGAAGGCTCTGGGGGTGGGAATGATTATCAGTGTTAAATAGTTGGTTTCATTTAAATTTTCTCCCCATAGGCCAAAGATAAGGACCTACCAGCTCTTGTAGAGAACATCTAACAAAGTAGCAAGGGTATTAGTGTTTTAATGGAGCCTACACAGGCACATATATATCAGAAATCAGAGACTGGGCACAGTGGCTCATGCCACTTTGAGAGGCCAAAGCAGGAGGCTCACTTAAACCCAGGAATTTGAGACCAGGATGGACAACACCATCTATACAAAAAACTAATAAATTAGCCAGGCGTGGTGGTGTATGCCTATAGTCCCAGCTACTCAGGCGGCTGAGGTGGGAGGATCACTTGAGCCTGACAGGTCAAGGCTGCAGTGAGCAGTGATTGCACCACTACACTCCAGCCTGGGCAACACAGCAGGATCTTGTCAAAAAAAAAAAAAAAAAAAAAAAAAAAAAAAAAAAAACAGGCTAGGCGCAGTTGTTAATCGCGCAGTTGTTAATCCCAGCACTTTTGGAGGCAGAAGAAGGCAGATCACGAGGTTAGGAGTTTGAAACCATCCTGGACAATTTGGTAAAATCCCGTCTCTACTAAAAAACTAGAAAGTTAGCTGGGCATGGTGGCAGATGCCTGTAACCCCAGCTACTTGGGAAGCTGAGGCAAGAAAATCACCCAAACCGGGGAGGTGGAGGTTGCAGTGAGCTGAGATCATGCCACCGCATTCCAGCCCAGATGACAGTGAGAGACTACGTAGGGTGGAGGGGGGAGCTGCATATCTAAAGCAAGGACTGAAAAGAATTTATCTCCTTCCAGCCGATCATGGGCTTACTGTGTCATCTAGGGAGTTCTTTTTTCCTAAGGCATTGTTCCCCTCACCTATTAGACGATGACTCACAGCGATACAGTGAATTGTAAACTTAAGTAGAAACCATGCCTTTTTCATCCCTGTTTCTTTAATGCAAAATTTGGCACTTAGTATATCACTTCATGGATGTTTATTAACAAATGAAAACTTCAAATAACTATTAGTAATATACTAAAATAAAATGCTATTTTAAGGTGTTATATAGCACAGCGACCAAAATAAAACCGGACTAGTTCACAGAAATATGCAGCCTGAGACTAAATGAGAGCTGTAATTGTCCCTCGGCCTGTGTTAAACCTGGGGGTTAATACTACGTAGGATTCAAAGCCCTTATCTGAATTGGGCAGGAAGCCTAACTCATCAGTGATTCAGGAGGGGGTTCTAAAAGCCTCAGATTGTCAGTCAAATGACTCTGAAAAAAGCCTTAAGAAATGTTTTCCTTAATGCCAAATATATGAGGATTTTCTCTTCCTTATTTAACCTCTACTGCCTTGTCTCTTAACTTTCATTCTTTTCTAGCCCACTTCCCATGTCCATGAAAGAAATGCTCTCTTTTGTTAGTAAACAAAGCTTACAAAGATGGTGCTTGTGGCAGAGTTGGTCTCAATTTCACTATCAGACAAAGTGCCCCGAGAGCTTGCCAGGTGAACACTGCCCTCGCCACCTGGTCCATCACCTGCATTGCTGCTCAAGTCACTGTCAGCTCCAAGTGTCTCTCCAGAACTATTACTCACCTGGAAAGGAAAAAACATAGTAAGAGATATTCCCCAGGGATGGGCCCCAGAAATGCCAAGCTGTTAGAGCTCCCTGCCACCATAAAAAAGTATTACATTTCAAAGGTGTGTCAGATAGCCTCTGGAAGTACCTTCTTTATAAGATGAGAAGCTCTGGGTGAAATCTTGTGTACACACACCTATGATGGTAAACATCTCCACCATGAGAACCATGCTGACCTGAGACTCAGAACAGCCTCCAAAGAGGAAATCCACACCCCACCCACCAAGATGCCAGTGTGGTGTTCCCCTACCACGGTGCTAACTTCAGAATCCTGACTTGAGCTGCGGATCATAACAGCTGGACTCACGCTGATGACAGAGTCTTGATCGGTCTTCTGAAACAAGACACAGGGACATTAGGGGAGGTGTCCAATCTCCTCTCAGTTTCCCACAGAAATATCGTACCTTTTTCTTTCTCCCCATCCCCACCCTTCCATCATCATCCTTAGAGAAGTGATGCAACTTTTTTCTAGAATATAAAATATGTACAACTTATATAATAAAAAAAGAATAGGCTGGGTGCAGTGGCTCATGCCTGTAGTCCTAGCACTTTGGAAGGCTGTGGTGGGAGGATCACTGGAGCCCAGGAATTGGAGACCATCCTGGGCAACATGGTGAAACCCCGTTACTATAAAAAATACACAACTGCCGGCTGTAATCCCAGCACTTTGGGAGGCCGAGGCGGGTGGATCATGAGGTCAAGAGATCGAGACCAACCTGGTCAACATGGCGAAACCCCATCTCTACTAAAAATACAAAAAATTAGCTGGGCATGGTGGCACGTGCCTGTAATCCCAGCTACTCAGGAGGCTGAGGCAGGAGAATTGCCTGAACCCAGGAGGCGGAGGTTGTGGTGAGCCGAGATCGTGCCATTGCACTCCAGCCTGGGTAACAAGAGCGAAATTCCGTCTCAAAAAAAAAAAAACCAACAAAAAAAAACATAACTTTAGCCAGGCATGTTGGTGGGCAACTGTGGTTCCAGTCACTCAAGAGGTTGAGGTGGGAGCATCACTTGAGCCCAGGAGGTTGAGACTACAGTGAGCTGAGATCACACCACTGCTCTCCAGTCCAAGCGAAAGAGTGAGACTCTGTCTCAGAAAAATAAAACAAAAAACAATGCATTAAAGAAGTACATGCGGCCGGGCACGGTGGCTCAAGCCTGTAATCCCAGCACTTTGGGAGGCCGAGGCGGGTGGATCACGAGGTCGAGAGATCGAGACCATCCTGGTCAACATGGTGAAACCCCGTCTCTACTAAAAATACAAAAAACTAGCTGGGCGTGGTGGCGCGTGCCTGTAATCCCAGCTACTCAGGAGGCTGAGGCAGGAGAATTGCCTGAACCCAGGAGGCGGAGGTTGCAGTGAGCCGAGATCGCGCCATTGCACTCCAGCCTGGGTAACAAGAGCGAAACTCCGTCTCAAAAAAAAAAAAAAAAAAAAGAAGTACATGCTCACTGAAGAAAATGCATGAAGAATAGGGAAATAAAAACAAGCTGTAAATCTACCACCCACCTTAAGCACTGTTTTTAGTATATTTCCTTTCAGTCTTTTGAAATACATTTAAAAAATAAAATTGGAATCACCCTGTATGTAGCTTTGTTAAACATTTTCCCATGTCACTAAATTTTTGAAAACAGTCTTTAATGGATACTAACATTGCATTACATGGATCTATTGTATTTATTTAGTAATCCACTTATCATTAGATATTTATGTTGTTTTGAGGTAGTTTCTTTTTTCTTTTTGAGATGGGAGTCCCACTCTGGCACAGGCTGGAGTGCAGTGGCATGATCTCAGCTCACTGCAACCTCTGCCTCCCAGGTTCAAGCAATTCTCCTGCCTCAGCCTCCCAAGTAGCTGGGATTACAGGCACATGCCACCACGCCCGGCTAATTTTTGTATCTTCAGGCGAGATGGGTTTCACCATGTTGGCCAGGCTGGCCTCAAACTCCTACTCCTGATCTCAAGTGATCCACCTGCCTCAGTCTCCCAAAGTGCTGGGATTACAGGTGTTAGCCTCCTCTTGGGGCCATTATTTTTTTTAATTTTTGAGACGGAATTTCACTCTTTTTGCCCAGGCTGGAGTGCAATGGTGCAGTCTTGGCTCACAATGACCTCCACCTCCCAGGTTCAAGCGTTTCTCCTGCCTCAGCCTCCTGTGAGGCTGGGATTACAGGCATGCACCACCACACCTGGCTAATTTGTATTTTTAGTAGAGACAGGGTTTTACCATGTTGGTCAGGCTGGTCTCAAACTCCCAACCCCAGGTGATCCACCCACTTCAGCCTCCCAAAGTGCTGGGATTACAGGCATGAGCCACCGCACCCAGCCATCTGGCCGCTTCTTTAATTTAAAGAAGTATTCTCAGATAGCATATTTAATCCTTGCAATTTTCAACAAGGTTCTTACAAACCTGGGAACTAGACGTCAGGCTCACACCGCCGTCTGTGCTTATCTGGGACTTTTTCTCCTCTGTCTCACCAAGGTCAAAGACAGGTTTGATTACTTCAGGCCCTGAGTAGGGGAAGACTTCTGTTACTCAGTACACAAAGGCTAGGGGCAGGCTGGTAAAGGGCGTGGGACAGCAGCACGGGCTAGTCCCAGACTTGGTCAGCCCACTCCAGTCACCTTTCCAACGACTACCCCCCACTCAAGACCCACTGGAAAAAGAGGTCCCTAGATGCCTTAAGAACCAAGTAGGACAAATTAGAACTGGTTTCAATGAGTTCTGCAGCCATCTTCTCACCTTGAGAAAATTCTGAGCAAATCATCTTAGAACAGAAAAGTTTCACAAAGCCGGGTGTGGTAGCTCATGGCTATAATCCCAGCACTTTGGAAGGCCAAGGCAGGTGGATCACCTGAGGTCAGGAGTTTGAGACCATCCTGGCCAATATGATGAAACCCTGTCTCTACCAAAAAATACAAAAAGTAGCTGGGTGTGGTGGTACATCCCTATAATCCCAGCTATTCGAGAGGCTGAGGCAGGAGAACTGCTTGAGCCCTGGAGGCAGAGGTTGCAGTAAGCCGAGATCGCGCCACTGCACTCCAGCCTGGGCAACAGAGCAAGACTCCATCTCAAAAGAAAAAAAAAAGAAAGAAAGAAAAGCTCCACAAACAAATGTCTAAACCACATTTCACAGCACTCAGAGTCTAAGCTTCACTGGTACCTGAGACCATTTAATGTTCCTCAGATCACTTAATGCTTCCCAAACAAATGTGTCTAAAGGAGCTAGAGAAGGCTGGGCCTGATGAGATAAGAAAAACCAGCTGTTTTGGTAGGCACTGCCTATCCCCATCCTACAACTTCTACATTTGAGATAAAAACCACCCCTCTTTTCCCCCACCCAACCACAATGGTATGGCAGAAGGACAGAATGACAGAAAGCAAGAAAGCGTGCCTAGGCAAGCCACCAGAGAGTTGGGCAGCTACAGACTCAACATGGAGGGACAGCAACCATCTCTGCCAACTGTGCCCACAGGCCTTCTAACAGGTGAGAGAGATATCAGCCAATGGGGGTCACTAAAATAGGTAAATGTCCTCCCCACCAACTCTGAAGCAACAGAGAACCAAGTTCTGGGGAGTTGTATGCAGCAGACACCTGGTTATAGCCTGATTGCCACGAGGGAGGGGGAAAGAAGCGGCCTCCATGCCACACGCCTAGGAGTCACATGCTACCTACCTGCTGCCATTCCAAACACCCCCTAAGAGCAAATTTGGGGTGGGGCGGACAAAGGGAGCCTGCCCCAACTGGGCCTGGGGAGTTGGCAGGTATGGAAGACTTGGGAACAGGAAGGGGCATTTGTTCCTTACTCTGTTTTTCCAAAGCTTTTTGCTTTTTCACTTCCTGGTGCTTGTTCCACAATTCTACCCCAGATGCAATGCAAGCAGGAGAGAAAGACAGAGAGTCAGAGGCTGGTCAGACAGACGAAATGGAAATCCACCCACCCAAGTCGATTCAGTCACAGGTACCAGATTACCAACCAAGAGATACAAAGATATCTTCATAGGGAGAAGGGGCAGGAATCAAGAGAGCTAACCCTCCACCCAAACTCATGAACTACAGATTCCAAATTTCTAATTCCAACCCCAATGTGGCAGTAAAAACCCTACAGAATGTGAGAGCTGGAAGGGCCCTCGGCAAGCTCCTTCGTTTTTGCATGAGGAAACTGGCCCTGAAGAGGCTGGAGCACTTCATCAAGATCACGTCACTTAGGATCCATTTAAATGTCCACCATACCATGCTCTCTCTGCCAAATGAGCTGGGGAAGGGCAATTTTTACAGATTCTGGATGACACAGATGAACACCTCAAGCAGCCAGTTTCAGAAGCACAAACATCAATGTTAGAGTCACTGGACTGGACAGAGGCCAATTCATGCAGGCAGTTAGCATCCCTCCTCATTGCTCGTCAAGAAACCAACTCGCCCCCAGAGCCAGTGCCTGCCCTGCAACCAGTGATCTGGAGAAATGCCTCTAGTTGAGGTAACAGAGAACATAAAATGGTCAAGACCAGCATCTTCATAGGGGAAAGCAGACAGAATGGCAACCACAGCAATTCTTTTCCTGGAAGGAACTTTGAGTGTACTTAGTATGATCTCCTCTTTTCCCAGAAGAAGAGACAGAGACCCTGAGAGGGGAAGTTATTTGCCCAAAGTTGCATTTCTAGTTGGAGGCAGATACGGGACTGAAACTCCAGACCTCCAGACGGGCAGGTCTGTACTTTTTCTAAAATATTACATGAGGCAGGAGAGAGCCAGGAGTTGACTGCTACTAGAATAATATCCTGCTGGCTAGGGAAGTGTAGCTCCCCTAAAAAGGAATCTGGTTCCATGTCGCTATTTATGGGAGCAAAAGGCAACTGCTAATGGCCACGAAAAAGAGCCATCAGCTGGAAGCAGAGTGCCCAGGGACTCAAAACCAGAAAAAGAAGGAAGGATCCAACCTCAAAGACTCAAGGTCAAGCAGGGAGTGAGTCAAACAGACGTGACGCCCGGAAAGCTCACTAAGGCACTGGAGAAACACCGAATGTACACAAGATTTTAATCAAGTCCAGTGAGGGAGGGTTTCAAGAAGAACTGACTCGGAAACCGATATCTCAAAGATCCAGAACCCAGGGAAATGGGGTTGCCAGACTTGCCCCAGAGGAGCACATTCCAAGGCAGTATAACAGCTGGAATGGGAGAACACTGGCTTCAGGAACACCAGTGTTATGACTGTATAGCCCAAAGACGCATCTGTAAACTTCCTGAGCACTTCCAGGAATTCTCCCCGCTATGTGAAGAAATGCAGATGTAAATAAAAAGAGCAGCCAGGAGGACAGCTCAGACCCCCTGCAATTAAGCTTCACTGGGCCTTCTAAACAAAACTTCCATTCTTCTAAGATACGGGGCAGGGGGTGGCTGTGGATGAAGCAGAACTAGAGCAGTACAAAGAAACACCACTAGAAATGGACAGAGGCCCTTCCCTCTCTAGGAAGCAAAGCATGGGGAAGAGAAAGGCGGGATTCTGGATGAACTGAGGAGAGAGGGATATTTAGGCAGCCAAGACCCCTTCACCACACCAAACACATGGATACATACCAATAGATGCTATAAAATTTTCTTCCTTTAAACTTTTGGTGTCCAGTTCCTTAGGACCCTTTCCTGTGGCACTGGGTGCCCGAGGTCCCAGTTGGGGAACTCTCAGCTGTGCCATAGCCTTTGGGTCCCCCCGCCCAGCTAGGCCAGGATCCTTGCCAACTGAGGTATTTACACTTTCTGTTGGACTTCTCTTCCGCTTGTCTGGTTCTGAGGGGAAAAAAAAAAATCAAGAGGTCAAAAGAGGTAGTGAGTAGGAATCAAGATACGGATATGAGGTGGGAGAAGCCAGTGTACAGGAGGATGTGGAAGGGAAGAAGTTCAAGGAAAGATGAGCTGACGTCTTAGTTTTAGTAACAAAAAACACCGACTACATATAAACATGCACTAGAAAATGAAATTCCAAAGCCTGATGGGAAGCAGCGTGGCACTGGGAAACTTGTCTTGGGGACAAATACATTTTCTCTTCGGGAGACAAGTGGAGAGCTGGGGATGGTGTGGTGCCCAGCAGGTACGATCCCTACCTTTACTATAGTAGTGGGTCTGGGCAATCTCCAGAAGCCCAAAGATGCTGGCCATGCCACCCAGACCCGCATGGGCATAGGACTGCTCCAGGCTGAGGACTGTGCACTTGAGGAGGTCTAACATTCCCTTGTACACCTTTCGACTGATCTCCTGCAACAGCAACCCAGGGGCTGGCATTGGCGAATTGCTTTTGGTGTTCACATCCCTCTCCCCAGTTACTCCGACTCCCTGCCCTCAACACTGACCACATCCGGGATGATGTCCTGCCGGGCATCGTCCTCTGACTGCACCGTGCGGTTCAGCTTGCTCAGGACAAAGACTCGCAGCTGCTCACTCTCCAGCAGCCGGCGCACCTTTTTCATGTTGAGCCAGCCAACTCCCTGGCCATCCAGCACGCTGTGCACCACCTCCTTCAGAAACTGCTGGTTCTCACTACAGGGTCCACACACCGCTTCTGTGGTCATTAGCTCCTTTGCAGAGCAGACCCCCCCTCCCCCAACTTTCACCCAAACTAAACATCTGCCTCCAGGGGTAAAACACAAAGCCACATCTCTGAATGTCCAAGTCCACCACATTCCCCACCTCTCCAGAGAATCTGATTTACCCAAACACCCATCACTGCTGATTCACCCCCGTCAACTGACAACCGTCAGCTGTCACTGTTGCATGGGGATCGAGTCAGAATGAGAAGTGCTGCCAAGAAATTGGTTACATCCACCCCACTGAGAGCTCCTCTCCCACTCTTGAGCACCCCTAAGGGTCTGTAAAGGAACCACCCACCTCTACCAGAGAACTTTTAAAAGAGCTCTGCCATTTACTACCTAGAATTGCTGGATCGCCCCTGGGGTGATGGAGGTTCTCTTTTCACTGTTGGGCTGTGTTTAATGACAGACGACTTCTGATCCACTAACGCCCTCCTGTTTCCTGTGGTGGGGAGGTAAGAATGAGACACATCACTATTTAGCTCAGGAGCTCATGCCAGCATATCCCTGAGTAGCCATGTTCCACGCCCGCTCCTCAGAAGGGCTGGGTGAGGGTGGTACCAAGGCATCACAAGTAGATAGAAACCAGCCATGGCAATGTGGAGGAGGTGGGGATGGAGACTCAGGCCACTCCACATGCACCAGCAGCACGCCCCATGGGCAAGCATGGGTGTCACGGGGGACGGGGCAAGTAGGTCACTCATGTGACACTGCTTGCTCCATGAGGAGGATGGCCCTTGGGCAGGCACAGAAGATGCTAGAGAAAAAAAAAAAAGATCATGCACAGCTCACAGGCAAGACCCACCTTCACCACTCCCGGGGCCGGCTTCAGTAACAATCTCCATTAGAGTATTTAGCCCAAATACTGGGACACAAAATACACAATTAGTAGGTGCACCACAATACCGCAACCCCTCTACCCCTCCGAGGAGCAGTAAGCCAGATAATCTGAGCATTCTCCCAAAGCTTGAGGAATGCACGTAACCTTGGTTCTTGACACCTCAGAGCTGGAAGCCAAGTGACCAGGAGACAACCAAGGCTCTAAGAAAAGACCATTCTTAAGACTGTGGCCTTTCAAAGCCAGGGGCAGGTAAATGACACAGGGAGCCTTCAGGTACAGAACACACACATGCATCAAAGAGGGAACGCTGGTTTTCAGAAAACACCCAGCACGGGGGGCCAGGGTCCTGAGGGTATGCGCAGGGAAGCAACCATCTTGCAGATGCTGTTGGGGGGAATGCGGTGGGGGTATGAGGATGGGAGGTGGATGAGAGGGTAAGTGCAGCAAATGCGACAAAGCATCAGCATGCAATGAAAGAGATTCAATCATCTTCTCTTCAAAGGTGCCAAATGAAGGCCAGTGACACTGACGCCCTTCCATCCCTAGCCTACCCAGCCACATGTGGATTCCCTGGCAGTGCTAGTTTGCTCCTTACACTACCAGCTCTGATGTACCTTTGCCCATCTGTCTCATGTTCCCATCCCCACTAAAGAACATGCCTTAGACTCCTGGCAATTTTGTTTGTTTCTCTCTCTCTCTCTACCTCAAACTCCTGGGCTCAAATGAACCTCCTGCCTCAGCCTACCAAGTAGCTAGGATGGCAAGAGTGAGCTACTGCACCCAGCTAACCTGACATTTTTGACCACTGGGAATGAGAGGTCAGTTAAAGAATACATGGGGTTGCTTCTCATTGTACTTCCTTCCACAAGCTAAATATTTCGGCATACCATCCAGGAAAAAAACAAGTCAAGCCGGGTGCCGTGGCTCACACCTGTAATCCTGGAACTTTGGGAGGCTGAGGCGGGCAGATCATTCAAGGTCAGGAGTTCAAGACCAGCCTGGCCAAACGTGGCCAAACCCCATCTTAATTAAAAATACAAAAATTAGCCAGGCATGGTAGCGCATGCCTGTAATCTCAGCTACATGGGAGGCTGAAGCATGTGAATGGCTTGAGCCTGGATGATGGCAGTTGCAGTAAACCGAGATCACAACCCTGTACTCCAGCTTGGGTGATAGAGTGACACTCTGTCTTAGAAAAAAAAAATCAAAATCAGAAAATCCCCTGAAACTGTGAGATATCACAAACCAAATTCAAATAAGGTCTTAACTGTCCCTAGAAACTAACCAATACTACCTGGTACACTCAGAGGCCCTGGGTTGACATGAAGTCACGGTGAGACGCTGCACTCTATGAACATGCCAGGTTCTCCATAACCATTCTCTAGTGGGCTAGCTCCTTGTCATGGAGTTTGTCCTAAGTTCATGCAGTGGCAACCCAGCAGATGACTGGGGGTGGCTGATGGCCCCATGTTAATCATGTAACCTGACAAGGTCCTCCCGAGATGCAGCAGTAACCCCACAGTTGCCACAGACCTTACATGACATAACAGGGACCTCTCTAGCTATGAAAACAGTTTCCATCTGACAACCATCAGAGCCCAGGATGTGCAGTGAAAGCCATGAGGAGCAACACGAGGGATGACAGCCAGGTCAAAGGATTCACCAGACGCAGGGCTCCTGACATGAACCCACAGGCCCAAAATATCTTCTGAAGAAACCTGGCTTGGCAAAAGGAAGGCTGTAGTTACCTTTCAGACTGGGGAAGGGCGTGGCCTTCTCTCGGGCACCTTTGGTGGGCAGTGTGAGGTTTGAAAGACTGAAGCTGGTACTGTGGTTCCGATAGAGGCTGCCTATCAAGGGGAGGGTGCGAGAGCAATGACTTGGCAGAGTAAGTAATCAAAGCATTAGACTAATGACTATCAGCATCAGCACCTCCCTCCTTCTCAAGCACAATCCCAGTTTGGTGGGTCAGATCACCTCTGATCTGTCTTAGAAAGGATCAAGTCTAACTCTAGGCAAACAATGGAGCCATTGCCAGGATCAGCCCAAACTCAGTAACAGCTTTCTCTGTCCACCCCACATAATACCCAAGTCTCTCATCTCCTGCTGCACAGCAAGAAAGCTGACAGTTAACAGGCTTCCAGTCTGAAGCTGGCACTGTCTCTCCTTGGCTGCTGGAGAAACTCACAATTACAGGGATCCTCTATACTGGCTCCCCCTACTCCATGGTCTGTTCTTCAATCTTTAACTGATACCACCCCACACTGCTGGAAATACTCTCTAAGCACAAATATCAATCTCACATTGATTTCAAAGCACATTCATGGAAGAGTCCCTCATGAGGCAAAGACGATGCCAGGTACAGAACCAAATCAAATTTGACCAGAATATTTCCACAAATAAAAGTACAAGTGTGTGATTTTGAATTTACTGCCATTTTCCAGTTGCCCATCCAGCTATCTTACCTGAAACAGACCGAAATGTCCAGGCATAATGATAATGACTAATCGGTACCTGTCCTTTCCTGACCTCAGTTGAAAACACCTTATTCGGTATCACCCAGATGACTGGATTAGGGCTTGTTAATGCTAACCCAGCCCTACATCTGAAGTTCTAAGCAACATGTGCCATAGTAAGGCTCTGCTGTAGAGAAAACGGAACACAGGAATGAAAGCGAGAGCTGAAGGCACTTACTGGCAAAAGACATGATGCCCCCGAAGCCCTCGGTGCTGGTGTTGGAGACGGTGGAGTTGGGAGAGCTTGCCCGAGAGTCTGACTCTGCATCGGAGTCACTTGCCAGTCTCAAGCTGTTGGGCCGCAGCAGCTTCTGAGCCCTTGAATGCACAGTGGCACCCATGAGCCCCACGCATGGGTACCTGACCTTGGGAGTATGGGCCTTAAGCTACACTGCAGTCGCTGCTCCCTTCCCATAATTCCTAAACCCCTGGATCAAAACACCACCCTGTGGGGATGGCAGGACCAGGACAGCATTCAAACTTCTCAGACTTTCTGATTAACCCTCACCCAGGGTCCACTGAGGTGAGGTCCTTCAGTCACCCATCTAGAAGGGATCCCCAGGCTCTCACCGATTGCCATTGACATGTTGGCTGAATCGGGGAGTGTAACTTTCCCCCTGCTCATCCTCATCTTCCTCAGGGGGAAAGCCATATTGGGGCTCGAAGTATGGATTGTCATAGATTCGCCGGCGCACTGACCCCTCTCCAATTTCTGTCTGACGTCTGTCCACGTTCGACTTGCCAATGCTGGGAGGAACGGAAGGGAGGGGCTTGGAGACGCCTACTGCTGCCTTATCCTCCATCTCCGTAGAGTCAGCAGGTTCCTAAAGGCCACATGAAATTAAAAGTGGTTACCTGCTGCCCAATGGTACCTTCCTGTAATCCCAGTTTGGCAGGGCTGGGCCAGGCCTGTTGGATTTCCAGCCCAAGGAATGTGTGGGAAAAGATCTGAGTCACCCTGTTCTCTGTCCCCACAATATATAAGGAGGATCATAGGCGTACCCTGAAAAAAGCCTGATGATCTCCTTTTGGGGTCAAAACTAGGTCTCTTAGGCTGTAAGCTCTAGAGCCCATGAAAAGGAAGATAAGAAAATTGTGTGAGAAGAAGCTAATTAACTGCTACAGCCTGGCTTTCCTAATAGATGAGGCCCACATCCCAGGGAGTGGTTCTTATCCATCGCTCCTCACTTACAGAGTTGGCTCCATGAATAATGGTGCTGGGGCTGCTGCTGGCGGTGGTACTGGAGCTGGAGCGCAGTGGGGGGTTTTCCTGAGAGTTCTCATTGTCTGGGCCAGGATCTTCTGCTTCCTTCTGGTTCTGCAACTCGTCAATCTCCACCTCGCTGGCATCCCCCAGTGCTGCATGCGTCAGAGGGTCCACATCTGCCAAAATCCAAGGGGGGCAGGTATAGACCACCCCATCCCTGGACCCCAACCCCTGCCCAGGGCTGGCCAATCTCCCCAAGCACACTTACTGGGAGTATCACCATTAATGTCACATTTCATCATTTCACTGACAAAGTCACCAAGGGAGGAGTAAGAAGAGCTTGAATCGTCATAATCCATACTATCACTGCCACTGCAGGAGGGAGGCACATAAAAAACAAAACAGAAAGAGACAGGGTGAAGACCTGCAATCAGCACCAGGAAAACTAACAAGGGGTAGCACTCCGAACTCAAGGCCAGGGAACAAATCAAGTAAGAAATCAAGAAAAACGGTCAACCAAAGCATAAAGACTGATATGGGGGCTGGGCACAGTAGCTCACGCCTGTAATCCCCGGACTGGGAGGCTAGGGTGGGTGGATCACCTGAGGTCTGGAGTCCAAGATCAGCCTGGCCAACATGGTAAAACCCCATCTCTACTAAAAATACAAAAAGTAGCCGGGCACAGCTGGGATTGGTGGCTCACACCTGTAATCCCAGCACTTTGGGAGGCCGATGGGGGCAGATCATGAGGTCAGGAGATTGAAACCATCCTGGCTAACACAGTAAAACCCGTCTCTACTAAAAATACAAAAAAATAGCTGAGTATGGTGGCATGCACTCGTAGTCCCAGCTACTCAGGAGGTTAAAACAGGAGAATTGCTTGAATCCAGGAGGCGGAGGCTGCAGTGAGCTGAGATTGAACCACTGCACTCCAGCCTGGGCAAGAGAGCAAGACTTTGTCTCAAAAAAAAAAGTAGCTGAGCACAGTGGCTCACGCCCATAATCCCAGCATTTTTGGAGACCAAGGCAGGCAGATCACTTGAGGTCAGGAGTTTGAGACCAGTCTGGCCAACATGGTGAAACCCTGTCTCTACTAAAAACACAATAAATTAGCTGGGCGTGGTAGCATGTGCCTATAATCCCAGCTACTCATGAGGCTGAGACAGGAGAATCACTTGAACCCAGGAGGCAGAGGTTGCAGTGAGTTGAGATTGTGCCATTGTACTCCAGCTTGGGCAACAGAGTGAGACTCCATCTCAAAATATATACATATGCACACAAAAATTAGCCAGGTGTTAGCAAAGACCTGGAACCAACCCAAATGCCCAACGATGATAGACTGGATAGGGAAAATGTGGTACATATACACCATGGAATATTATGCAGCCATCAAAAACGATGAGTTCACGTCCTTTATAGGGACATGGATGAACCTGGAAACCATCATTCTCAGCAAACTGACACAAGAGCAGAAAATCAAACACTGTATATTCTCGCTCATAGGCGGGTGTTGAACAATGAGAACACATGGACACAGGGAGGGGAGCACTACACACTGGGGTCTGTTGGGGGGAAATGGGGGAGGGGCGGGGGGTGGGGAGGTGGGAAGAGATAGCATGGGGAGAAATGACAGATACAGGTGAGGGGACGGGAGGCAGCAAAGCACACTGCCATGTGTGTACCTATGCAACAATCTTGCATGTTCATCACATGTACCCCAAAACCTAAAATGCAATTAAAAAAAAAAAAAAAAAAAAAATTAGCCAGGTGAGGTGGTGGCACCTGTAGTCTTCAGCTCCTCAGAAGGTGGAGGCAGGAGAATCGCTTAAACCTGGGAGGCAGAGGTTACAGTGAGCTGAGATCACACCACTGCACTCCAGCCTGGGCGAAAGAGTAGCAAGACTGTCACACACACACACACACACACACACAAACTGATATGGGAAGCCTATGAGAGTTTACCTCCTCTGTGCTAAAGAAAGGCTACTGAGAGCCTCTTCACCTTAAAAACCTGTCTGCTGCTCTGAGGATGCTCACCTATCATCAGTAGGTTCGGAGTCAGAGTCCCGCTCTGGTGGTACACTCAGGGCCTCAGCCAGCTGGGAATTGCTGTCATAGACGCGATAGTGGATGGGCTGCAGCTGATGAGCATACCACTTTGGCTTGTCACCAATCAGGGCTGGATCAAACATATCTACCCCATGAGGGAAAAGAATAGAGAGTCAGCAGCAAGGAAGAAAAGGCAAGCAATGCCTGAAAGAAAGGCAGGAAAAAGTCTAAAGCAGAGCAAGGATAGAAGGAAACGGTCAAAGATTAGCAAAGGAAAAAGCAAAGTCCATCAGGAGGACAGAGGCAGAAGGCAGAGCAAAGCAGAGCGGAGGGCAGGTGGACTCACTGTTGTGAATTCGCTGAAAGGCATAGTTGGTGGGGTTAAGGATCCATTCCCCAAAGTACTCCACAGCCTGAGTCCTGGCCAATTTCTCGGCAAAAGGAGTCTGCCGGGGACGTGAGGCTAGAAAGGAGCCAGCTTGAAAAGCCACCACAGGCCGAGGGAAGAGACGCAGGGTACGCGTGTGCATCTGAAATCCCTGCAGCACATTGGCAGAGTTGAAAAACCGTACCATGGCGACCCTGGGGAAGAAGGAGATGATGAGAAAATTCGAGACCCATGTCTTGTAGGATAAGGATTCCCATGATTCAAAGTCTTAGAACACCTTCCAAAGCCATCATTTAACAGGCTTCCAACATCAAGGGGAGAGGTAGCTTAAAGAATTATCAGTCCCCTCATCATCCTGAACACATCATTTACTATTTCTTCACTTTGCTTTTACTACGGTAGAAAATAACAACCAACTATGGTACATATTTTATATATACAAAAACCCTGGGCTGGTTGTGGTGGCTCATGCCTGTAATCCCAGCACTCTTGGAGGCCACGGCGGGTGGATCACCTCAAGTCAGGAGTTCAAGACCAGCCTGGCCAACATGGTGAAATGCTGTCTCTACTAAAAGTATAAAAATCAGCCAGATGTGGTGGTGGGCACCTGTAATCCCAGCCACTCAGGAGACTGAGGCAGGAGAATCACTTGAACTCAGGAGATGGAAGCTGTAGTGAGCTGGGACTGTGCCACTGCACTCCAACAAGAGCGAGACTCCATCTCCCAATAACAAAACAAAAAAACCCTGATTCAGGAAATAGTCTGCCCCAAGGTCACTGAGAGAGCAAAGAGATCAATTTAAGAACTCATGATTATACAGTCAGCTTGGTCTTACCTGGTTGCAACATCCACAGAATCCACATCATTGCCGTAGATGAGTGGGTTGAATTCAGTGGAGGGTGTGGACTGCAGGTCATTAGAAGGCCTTCCCAAGAGAAGGGGGATCTCCTGGCCCTCATGAAATTTCTCCAGATTGAGGATGGGTTGGGTATTGAGACTCATGCTGGCCAAGGCCTGCAAAACAAGAAAATTCCTTATACAAGGCACATTCCTGGAGAGCTAGCCAATCTCAACTCCAAGGAAAGAGCCTTCCTGGAGTCTTCTACCTCCTATTCTCTGGTCAAAAAGTTCTACAACGAACAACAGTGCTAATTTGCAATTCATGGTTAACCTGCTTCAGACCTTTCATCCCTGAAATAAAAGTCCAAATATTTCAGCCTTTAGAAAACAGTCTGAACTGGCTGGGTACCGTGGCTCATGCCTGTAATCCCAGCACTTTGGGAGGCCAAGACAGGTGGATCACCTGAGGTCAGGAGTTCGAGACCTGCCTAAGCAATATGATGAACCTCCGTCCCTACTAAAAATACAAAAATTAGCCAAGCACGGTGGCATGCACCTTTAATCCCAGCTACTAGGGAGGCTGAGACAGAACAATCGCGTGAACCCAGGAGGCGGAGGTTCCAGTGAGCCGAGATGGCACCACTGCACTCCAGCCTGAGCAATGAGTGAAACTCTGTCTCAAAAAAAGAAAACAGTCTGAACTATCTAGCTCTCCATCTTAAGACAACCTAGCGGCCGGGCGCGGTGGCTCAAGCCTGTAATCCCAGCACTTTGGGAGGCCGAGGCGGGTGGATCACAAGGTCGACAGATGGAGACCATCCTGGTCAACATGGTGAAACCCCGTCTCTACTAAAAATACAAAAAAACTAGCTGGGCGTGGTGGCGCGTGCCTGTAATCCCAGCTACTCAGGAGGCTGAGGCAGGAGAATTGCCTGAACCCAGGAGGCGGAAGTTGCGGTGAGCCGAGATCGCGCCATTGCACTCCAGCCTGGGTAACAAGAGCGAAACTCCGTCTCAAAAAAAAAAAAAAAAAAAAGACAACCTAGCTGAAGACAACCTGATCATATCTGAAGTCCAGGACAGTAAGTTTTCAAAATTATTAGTCATTGGCCGGGCACGGTGGCTTACAACTGTAATCCCAGCACTTTGGGAGGCCAAGGTGGACGGATCACGAGGTCAGGAGTTCGAGACCAGCCTGACCAACACGGTGAAACCCCGTCTCTACTTAAAAAAATACAAAAATTAGCTGGGCATCGTGGCACATGCCTGTAATCCCAGCTACTCAGGAGGCTGAGGCAGGAGAAATGCTTGAACCCGGGAGGCGGAGCTGAGATCACACCACTGTACCCCCGCCTGGGCGACATCACCCCCCCAAATTATTAGTCATTAAATGTTTTTCAAAATTGGAATCTATGTGAAAATACATAGAAAGGATTTTGAAAACAGCTGCTCTGAAGTACACAGAAAGCAGAGCCTCACATGCTCAGGGCTTCCAAGTTAAATCAGCCCCTCAGAAGACTCCTTGGGGCAGGGTAAAGACCACTGGTCAACAGCAGCAGTGCGTCTCAAATGTGAGTGAGGTGAGGAATCACCCGGGAAGGTTAAAATGCAGATCCCCATTCAATTTGCCTGGGGTGATCCTGCACTTTAACAAGCCCAGGTGAAACTAATTTTGCTGGTCCACAAACCACACTTTTAATAGCAGGGGTTAAAACACAGGATGGATGAGTCCAAGGATCTTAGCTCCTACAAACATTTAAAATATAATTCTAGGCCGGGCGCGGTGGCTCACGCCTGTAATCCCAGCACTTTGGGAGGCCAAGGCGGGTGGATCACGAGGTCAAGAGATCGAGACCATCCTGGTCAACATGGTGAAACCCCGTCTCTACTAATAACACAAAAATTAGCTGGGCATGGTGGCGCAGGCCTGTAGTCCCAGCTACTAGGGAGGCTGAGGCAGGAGAATTGCTTGAACCCAGGAGGTGGAGGTTGCGGTGAGCCGAGATCGCACCATTGCACTCCAGCCTGGGTAACAAGAGTGAAACTCCATCTCAAAAAAAAAAAAATATATATATATATATATATATCATTCTAGCCAGGTGCAGTGGCTCACATTTGTAACCCCAGTACTTTGCGAGGCCAACGTGAGCAGATCACCTGAAGTCAGGATTTCAATACCAGACTGGCTAACATGGTGAAACCCCATCGCCACTAAAAATACTAACAAATTAGCTGGGCATGATGGTGTGTGCCTGTAATCCCAGCTACTTGGGAAACTAAGGCAAGAGATTCTTTTGAACACGGGAGCCAGAGGTTGCAGCAATCTGAGATCACGCCACTGCACCCCAGCCTGGTGACGAAGCAGGACTCCATCTCAAAATAAATAAATATAATTCCATATATTAACTTTTCCATATCATTAGTCATACTACGGCAACCATCAAGATTGAAAACACAGCAAGTAAAGGCAGCTAGAGAACTTTCTGAACTTACAATTCCCACCAGACTCTGCAGTAACAAGGTATCATATTATATCAGCAGTGAAAAAGCAACTGAGGTAAGAGGAATGATACAAAATGATGCATTTAAACCCAAACAGCATTTAGAGGCAAAACTGAATACTTCAGACAACACAGAAAAGGTTTCTACAGGCCCTTTAAGTGAACATGGATTTCTAAAAATAAACACAGTGGTATCTACTGGAGGTTCTACACAACACAGTAGGCAGGGGAAGGGAACAAAGCTTTATCGGGTGTTACCTTTAGGTACTGTGTTCAGCATGCAGAGGAAGAAGAAAATCAATCAATAAAAAATGGATGTGAGAGATTACTCAAAGAAAAGAATTTTTTTGTTTGTTTTGTTTTTTAGACGGGGTCTTGCTCAGTTGCCCAGGCTAGCGTGCATTGTCATGATCTCAGCTCACTGCAACCTCCACCTCCCAGGTTCAAGTAATTCTCCTGCCTCAGCCTCCCGAGTGCTGGGACTACAGGTGCCTGCCACCACAGCTGGCTAATTTTTTTATTTTTAGTGGAGACGGAGTTTTGCCATATTGGCCAGGCTGTTCTCAAACTCCTGACCTTGTGATCCGCCCACCTTGGCCTCCCAAAGTGCTGGGATTACAGGCAGGCATAAGCCACCGCACCTGGCCAAAGAAAGGAATTTTTGAAGAAAGGAGCCTCAGGATCAATTCTAGAAGATGATATAAGAGTAGCCAGACAGTCCACACTAACGCCCACCTAAGGAGATGGAGAAAATGTTCTGAGGCCATAGAGAGTGGCACACATACAAGAAACGGAAAGTGGAGGGCTATTTTATACAGCAACATAAGCATTAGAAGATGGTAAGGCATACAATGAATTGGAATCAGAAACACTCTGAGATTCACTCTTCCATCCAGCATGGGATAGGCTTTTTCTTAAGCCCATCCAGGGTGAAGAATATCTATGCCACTTGAAGTTTGACAGGAAACTGGCTCTGAGAATAGCTGTCTTCCAATAGCAATCCCACAGCATCTATTACTCCCCTTTCTTTCCTTCATTCTTCACCTACCTGCTTTAAATGCTTTTTCAGCTCTAATGATTCTGGTTCTGGCAGGATAGGCAGCACTTCTGCATTGCTGGGGGCAATCACCTGCACCGGAGAAATGATAAAAGATGTGACCTTAGAATTTATTGCTCAGGAATTTCACTTATATAAGAGTAAGCAATATATATACACAATATTATTATTATTATTATTTTTTTTTTTTTTTTTTTTTTGAGACGGAGTTTCGCTCTTGTTACCCAGGCTGGAGTGCAATGGCGCGATCTCGGCTCACCGCAACCTCCGCCTCCTGGGTTCAGGCAATTCTCCTGCCTCAACCTCCTGAGTAGCTGGGATTACAGGCATGCGCCACCATGCCCAGCTAATTTTTTTATTTTTAGTAGAGACGGGGCTTCACCATGTTGATCAGGATGGTCTCGATCTCTTTTTATTTTATTTTTATTTTTATTTTTATTTATTTTATTTTTTTTTTTATTTATTTTTTTTTTGAGACGGAGTTTCGCTCTTGTTACCCAGGCTGGAGTGCAATGGCGCGATCTCGGCTCACCGCAACCTCCGCCTCCTGGGCTCAGGCAATTCTCCTGCCTCAGCCTCCTGAGTAGCTGGGATTACAGGCACGTGCCACCATGCCCAGCTAATTTTCTGTATCTTTAGTAGAGACGGGGTTTCACCATGTTGACCAGGATGGTCTCGATCCCTCGACCTCGTGATCCACCCGCCTCAGCCTCCCAAAGTGCTGGGATTACAGGCTTGAGCCACCGCGCCCGGCTGGTCTCGATCTCTTGACCTTGTGATCCACCCACCTCGGCCTCCCAAAGTGCTGGGATTACAGGCTTGAGCCACCGTGCCCGGCCTCACATTATTATATAAATGAATACCCATTACATAACTGCACAATAAGATATAGGTACACACACATATATGATATACATATCCATCTGAGAAGAAATATACTAAATACTATTGGTTATTATCTCTAGATAACACAATTATGGTTTTTCTTTTCTTTTTTTCTTTTTTTTTTTGAGACGGAGTCTCGCTCTTGTTACCCAGGCTGGAGTGCAATGGCGCGATCTCGGCTCACCGCAACCTCCGCCTCCTGGGTTCAGGCCATTCTCCTGCCTCAGCCTCCTGAGTAGCTGGGATTATAGGCATGCACCACCATGCCCAGCTAATTTTTAGTATTTTTAGTAGAGACGGGGTTTCACCATGTTGACCAGGTTGGTCTCGATCTCTCGACCTCGTGATCCACCCGCCTCGGCCTCCCAAAGTGCTGGGATTACAGGCTTGAGCCACCGCGCCCGGCGGTTTTTCTTTTCACTTATTTTATTTACACTTTTTTTTTAAGTTTTACAATGAACACACAATGGCTTCCCACCCAAGTTTGAATGTACTCACACTGTAAAATGTTCATATAATTCATTAAGTCTACACTGAAAGACAGTTTCTTACTGGAAACTATACCCCAGGGAAACCATTAAGAGATGATCTATACTACATATAATGGTCCTTAGATCACAACTGCCCGACTGTTATTGGAGAATACAGGGTGGGAGGCACTTAATTCTGGAAAAAATAAAACCTGTAATTCTCTGAGACCTAACCAAGGGCTTATTTGGCCAAAAAGGTAAAAGGAGCATTTAAAAAAAAAAAAAAAAAACTGTTTAAAAAAAAACTGTTTCAATAAGTCTCACAAAAGAAACTATCCAACAACCTAGGACCTTCCTAAAAGGAATCAAGAAAAACAGATATCCCAGGATTGGTCTAGAATGCAATCCTGCTCTAGATTCTGCAGTGCCTTAGCCAGGAACCTCACCCTGTTGCTGTCCAGATCCACTAGCCATACGTCATCAGGCATTTTGAAGTCCAGTTTGTAGAGGAAAAAGCTGGCAGGAACCCCAATGATGTATGGGGTTGGAGCCAACAGCAGCTGTGGAAATGATAAAGAGGGTGAGAAACAAAGACAAAACCTATCACAAGCACTTATCAAGTCAGGATTCTTCCAAATAAGGATATGTAGATACAATCCCTCTTCCAAAACCCTTGAGGACAGATGTATTTGAAAATTCAGAATTTTTCAGATTTTTTGAAAGGTAATATGGTGCATTGTTTTGTATATAGTAGTCTTCCTTATCCACAATTTCACTTTGTTATTCCAGTTACCTGAGATAATCTGCACTCTGAAAATATTAAATGGAAATTTTCAGAAATAAACAATTCATAAATTAAAAACTGCAGCTTGATCATATCTGAAGTCGAAGACAATAGTTCTGAGAAGCATGATGAAATCTCATGCTGTCCTGCTCTGTCCCAATGGGACATGAATCATCCCTGTATCCAGCATGTCCATGCTGTATATGCAACCCGCCTGTAGCCATCTCGGTTATCAGAGCAACGATGTCAGAGTTTGTGTTCAAGTAACCTTTATTTTACTTAACAATGGCCCCAAAGCACAACGGTACTGATGCTAGCAATTGGGATACACCAAAGAGAAGCCAAATATATGCCCACAGAGGCCGGGCGCAGTGACTCACCCCTGTAATCCCAACACTTTGGGAAGCTGAGACAGGAAGTTGATTAACTAAGGTCAAGAGTTCAAGACCAGCCTGGCTAACATGGTGAAAGCCCGCCTCTACTAAAAATTAGCCAAGCATGGTGGGGGTGCCTGTAATCCCAGCTACTCAGGAGGCTGAGGCTGGAGAATCACTTAAACACAGGCGGTGGAGGTTACAGTGAGCTGAGATCAGGCCACTGCACTCTAGTCTGGGTGACAGAGGGAGATTCTGTCTCCAAAAAACCCCAAATATATGCCCAAAGAGAAGTTTTTAACCTCTTACTGTGCCTAAACTAAACTGTATCATTGCTATGTATGTATAGAAAAAAACTATCTGTGGTTTGAGGCATCTGCTGGGGGGTCTTGGAATGCATCCTCCGCAGATAAGAAGGAACTACTGCATTATGTAACACCTGCAGCAGAGTAGCCAGTACCCTACAGTCATTAACATTTATTGTGATAAATAAAAACTACAACTAGTATAACTTTTGTCACCAGATCAGTTCAAATCAGATTTTGCAGACAAGTAAGCTATGATAAAGGATTGAGAACTAGCACTGACTTGCAACTTCTTTGGGCATTGGGTCTCCTCCCTCAGGAAGACAGAGGTGACAAAGCCAGAAGACGCCTTGAGACTCACCTGCTCTGCTGATGCCATGCAGGTGGGAAGCAGCGGGATGACAGGAAACATATACTCCAGTGGGTAGATCATTGCCACGAATGCCATCACGGACATGGAGAGTGCGTTGTAGTCTCGGGACTGTAACACCACCTGTCATGACCCATCCAGTAAGAATCACTCCAAAACATAAAGTAAGGTTTACAGGAAAATGGCTTCCAACATTACGATTTGGTTTCCACTTCACCATGCCTACAGCTCCAGCTTTGTTTCTCCCACTGCCCCCTGCCCCACCACGCCTGCCACGTCCCAACCCAGACACAATGGTGATCCTCCCTCACCTGAAATATGTAAATCACTCCCTTACCTTCCTAGTTCTTGTATTGCCCATCCCAGGACCACTCACTGAAACAGAACTACTAATATTTCCAAAGAATTAGGTCAGTACAGTTAAGGATAAGCCCTATGAATGGTAAATCCTCTGAATACATCCCATATGACACCAGTATCTTAATTCAACCCACATCTAAGGAATACCTGCTATATACCAGGCATCATGTTACCTCCTGAAGACAAGATGATGAAAAAGATATAGTCCTTGTCCTCCAAGAGCTTATGGTCTGGCCACTGGCATATCTAAGAATTCCTCCCCTAGAAAGATCTAGGAAGCTGGCCTCTCACCTTGTGCTCTAACAGAATGCAGGTTAGCACCTGGAGACAGGCGTCTACACCCAGAAGTTCCAAGGGAAGGTGCAGTGGGAAATCCACTAGGGTGAATCGAGATGGGTCTGGAAGAGCAAAGGTCAGAGCTGGCTGGAGCTCCTTGGGTAGGACTTCGATGTCTACCCGCTTCTGCCCAGAGATGGGTACTGGAGAACGCAGCAATCGATAAATCCAGGCCTCAATCTCTCGAAGATCATGCAGAAGGGCACTTGACTTCTCTTCCACCAGCAACGATCCAGTAAAAATCCGCCACATGGTGTCCCTGAGAAGCAGACAGCAGGAATCACACACATTAGCATCAGGAACTGATACCCCACTGCAACCCAGTATCACCACAGAGGCTGTTTAACGATGACAACAGTAAAAGGAACATCATTAGGAAAGCCCAGTTTCTGAGCTCAGATAAAACCAGAAGGTATATACAATGGGAAGAAAAAGTATGAAAATATACACTGGGTAAACTGTCCTGACCACCGGTAAACATCAAATTCTTCAGCATTACTCTAAACACAATTTTGGAGGGAGGTCTAACTCTGCAGCAGTCTTTTGCTTAGTAAAGATTAACTCTTGGCTGGGTGAGGTGGCTCAGGCCTGTAATCCCAGCACTTTGGGAGGTCAAGGCAGGTGGACCACCTGAGGTCAGGTGTTTGAGACCAGCCTGGCCAACATGGTGAAACCCCGTCTCTACTAAAAATACTAAAATTAGCTGAGCATGGTGGTGCACACCTGTTATCCCGGCTACTCGGAAGGTTAAGACAGAAGGATCACTTGAACCCAGGAGGCAGAGGTTGCAGTGAGCCGGGATCGTACCACTGCACTCCAGCCTGGGCAACAGAGCAAGACTCTGTCTCCAAAAAAAAAAAAAGATATAAGTATCTTTTTATCTAAATATGCTTAAACAGGTCTGAAGGACCTTGAGCTGCATAGGAAATTTCCTATGCCCCTTAAAGATCAACTACATGGAATCTCTAAACGCTTCCCCTCTATTGGGCATCAGCAGCAAGCTGTACCTTTGTACGCCTCGAGGGATGCCCAGTTTCTTGCCCAGCAGGCGCTCGCTACAACAGTCCACCAGACGCTTGAGAGTATACAGACACTCTCGGAAGGTGGAAAAGAAAGGGTAGTGACTGAGCACACACAGGGACGTGAGAGTACTGTTTCGGGAGCGACTCCCCGCCTTGGCCCGGCGTTTGCCCCGAGGAGACTGGTTCACATCGGGGGTGGAGTCGGCATTGGGAGGCTGCAGAGATGAGCCACTCTCTGAACTCTCGGTGCCACCCTCTTCCGAGGCACAGGTGGCACGGGTTCCTTCCTTCCCACGGGACCCTGCCCCGCCTTCCCCCTTTTCCTTAGGGATTCGCTTTTGGAAGGAGCGGTAGAAGTTAACACAGATGCCGTATCGCGTGACTCCAGTGTCCTTGTCAGTGAGGGTGAAGACAAAAGAGGTATCATCCCGAAGGCTCATGCGCCGCTGCCGCACGCTCAGGCAGCCCTCAGGCTGGCAGAAGAACACTACATCTGGGGGCAGGGGAAACTCAGCGTGGTCCTCTAATGGGTATCGCCGTAGCAATTCAGGAGTCTGGGCCACACTATCACTGCTCGGGTGCCTGAAGAACATAAAGACAAAGTCAGCAGCCTGAAGGGATGGAATGGGCTATCACATTTTAACCACAGCCAACAAATAAAGCTCAAGATGCTATTTGGGATAAAGCAACCTAGCTCAAACACCTTGGAAAACATGGGTGCTGCCTGCCATGTAGAGCTGCTGGCTAAGAGAAGTCTGTACTGTCATGAAGGCACTATTCTGAAACAAAGGGGAGATTTCAACAATAAAAATATCACTAACACCTCAAGATGATTAACACCTTTTAAAGTGAATTAGCTAATAAATTACCAAAAGAGCATACATAGAGAAGGAACTTATAATGTACTTCTCCTTTTTACAAAATAAGAAAACTGAGGAATAAAGAGTATGTTTGTTTGCTCGACATCAGGAAGGTGTTAGTTAAGAGAAGGGTTTTGCTTTCAATGCACCTGACTATGTTGTTTTCCCTACGGGCTCCAATGCTCCCAACGGGGTAAAACAACAGGGGAAGATGAGCTATGCAAAGCAACGTGGAAATCGGCATGGGGAATAACTGCAAGTTTTTTGGCTATCCCAGATGTTAAGACAAAAGTAAATTTCTGGATTACCTGGCCCCTACGATCACTAAATAGTCAAGTAACCGAGGACAGAACTTCTTCTTTTGCACCATGGTTCCAATTCATCAGTTCATCTCAGAGAAGCATCTGGGCACCAAGCAAGGAGTCAGCATTCCCAGGAGGAATTCTGAAAATTAAAGTCTAATAGGAAAAAAGTACTGATAAGATCCACTGCTGTGCCTAAGGGACTCATCCCTCTCAACTTCTTCTCCACCAGGGGCAGAGGTTAGAAGGTCTTCTGCTTTCATACTAACGGTAGGAGAACTTGACACGTGCCTAGCCTTGTGTCTAGGTTTCTGAGCTCACAATCAAATGTCAAGAAGTAGATAGGCCAGGCACAGTGGCTCACGCCTGTAATCCCAGCACTTTGGGAGGCCAAGGCGGGAGGCTCACCTACGGTCAGGAGTTCAAGACCAGCCTGGCCAACATGGCAAAACCCCATCTCTACTAAAAATACAAAAAAATTAGGCAGGTGTGGTGGCGCATGCCTGTAATCTTAGCTACTTGCGAGGCTGAGGCATGAGAATCGCTTGAACCCGGGAGATAGAGGCTGCAGTGAGCTGAGATTGTAACACTGCACTCCAGCCTGGGTGACAGGGTGAGACTCCATTATAAAAAATAAAAAAATTTTAAAAAAGTAGATAAATAATGGCTCACCTACCTATCCCTACCAACAACTTCATTTTCAGCTTAACCCCTGGGGCTGTTTCTAAAAAAGATCCTAGGCCATCTAATCTGGACTCAGTCACTTAGCCATTATGACAACAAAAATTGAAGTCACTCTCAGGACCCCTCCAGGGTGAATCAGGATCAAACCAGACTCCTCAACCAGCACTCATCTGCACTTCTAGGTCTAGATGGAAAGCTAATCATTCTGTTTCAACAGAATGCATTCAGCTTAATGTGAAACTACCATATAGACTGCCTAGTTAGCTGTGCTTAGACAATAACAACAGCTGGCTATTCTACCTCATGTGATTGCAAATGAAAATGTCCATGCCCCAACTGCCTCATCTGATCCACTTTTCTCCCCTCTTAAGTCAAGAAAGGAGCCCAGAGGCTACTGCTGCTAGCTCTGCCCTTGGTGCTGAATCATAGTCTTTCTCCTCTATTCTAATCTCAGGCTCAGAATCAGTAATCCAATACATACAGATGAGTCCTTGTCCTACTATACATTACAGAGGCCATGAATTAGAGGCAGAAATACTAGAATTTCTGCAAGGACAGGGAGAGGTGCTCAGAGAAATGTCTAAACTATGTCCTAAAATTAGGAAAAGCTTTCATGGTCTTCATTATAATTTATTTCCTGTTAAGTGTCTATACACTTCTCTAAAAAAAACGTTTTACCCCACTGCAAGGCTATTTCTAGCAGGGCTATTTCTTCTATAAGCAGAAGTTCTTTTCTCATATTCCTAGTGTTCCAGGATTCTACTTCTGTGCTCTGCATGTGGCCTCACTAAGACCTTGTTCATTGCACACAGAGAGACTCCCATCACAGTATACACATACATACACACACACACACACACACACACACACACACACCCTACTCCCTCACCTGCTGCTGCGGGCACTCCCATATATACAGACATACACACTCCCTGGATGCTTAAGGCCCTACCCTGGTTCAGGTAATGAGTAGAAGTTCTTTCTGCTTCCCTACCTAATGATAAATAAGACTTATTTTCAGTACCTCTCAAATCCTCAAAATACTGCTTCCTCTTTTCCTGAGCTCCCAATAGAGGACCTGCAGGTAATAGGATTCAGTCTTATCTCCATAGCGACTCTGGCTCCCAGCTCTATTTATAGCAGAGCCACAGCCCCTCCCCTGCTTGGTGACCGCACAGTGCTAGCAGCTGCTACTCCAGAGTCGGCCAAGGCCCACAACAATTCATTCTCCTTGAACCTAGAGACACCTCTCCCACTGACAGTACCTGCTAAGAATTAGGTTATCTTCTTCCTCAACTGTCAGTAGTTCCTACTTTGCCCTAACTCTGGCTTTTGATAGTGATATTTCTACACCACCAGGTTTCCGAGCACACCATATATTCATTTCTAGGCATCACCACTGCTTAAGGAACCCAAACAGTCCCTTGGTTCTCCCAACTGCACCAGAGTCGTGAGCAAACCGCAGGAGGTGGGGCACCATAACAGAGCTGCGCTCAGCTCCTCCTGCGCAGAGTGAAACGGGCAGAAAAATAGAGAAATGAAATAGGCTATAAGTAAAAAAGCATAATTTGTTCTAATAAAGAATTATGTAGTTAATCTGTCACAGGATTTAAAAAAAAAAAAGAATTATGTAGAGATAACTAGAGTGAAAGCCAAAGTATCTTAAAGTAAAACAGAATTTACAGAAGACTACCTCTAGGCTAAACCTTGCAATCTGGGTTTACATTGAAAACCAGGAGCCCTCTCCAGGCAAAATCTCAACGATCAGGCCTAAGTACCTCCTACTAACAGAGTATGCGTCAGGCCTCTCTGGCCTTGGTGGGATCTCAGCCCCTCTCCACTGAGAACTATCTAATGAAACTAATGTCTTTCACAGTCCTCAGCTCCTTCCAGAGCCACAAGGACCCTGAGATCTTATTATTCTAGCTACGGGTAGTAGGAAAGATTTTGAGCCAGAATTCACATTTGATCAGCAGCCACTGCGTTCAGATGCAGATTGCAAAGATAACTAAGATTTCTTCTTCTCATTCTCTCCTCTCCCCTCCCCACAAAGACTAACACCTCTAACTCCTCTAACATCACCTACAACTCACACTCTGTCTTCACAACCAACAAGGCTCAGACTCTGCTTCTTGCCTCAACCATATTTACTAACGTAGAGCCTCTGGCTCCTATCTTCACGCATTCCAAAAGCATCAAGCTCAAAATGTATACCTATCTGCTGAAGTCCGACATCACCATCCGCTCCACCCAGAGGTAGATTTAGGATTCACAAACTTTTAGGTTATCTATGCCTTTTCAGCCAAAATGGCCATCCTAACCAACCCTTTGGATTCGTCCCTCATTTTGGACAGGACCTCATAGTAAAACCACAGGAAGCAGAGAGCGATATGACATCTCTGCTGACGTGAGCAAAACAGCAGGCTCTCCTCCCCTCTTCTCCTTCCCCAGGCAGTGACCTTGCAAGCTCATCAGCACAGACTGGTCCAGCGTGCGGGAGAACTGGAGCAAAGAGGCTGGCAGCTGGCAGGGTTGGGGAAGAGCGAAGGGCAGGGAAAGGTGGAAGAAAGCAGATGATACACGAGGATGGGGAGGAGAGAGACTGCAGAGAGATGAAATGGTGTTTTCACACTCCAGGAAGTCAATTTTGAAACAACAAATTTAAAAAGAAAAACAATTTTTTTTTTTAAAGAATCAAACGTGGTTCTTCAAATCATAGCCAAAAATAAGGCTCACGCGAGCACACGCACACGCGTACCCGCCAAGTGATGTGAGCTCGGGCCCCGGGGCTGGCCAGCTCTGCCCGCCCCCTCACCTGCTGGACAGTTCTCTCCCGCCCCCGCCCCCGTCCCAACCCGAACCCGAATCCGAATCCGAACCCGAACCCGCGCCGCCCGCCCAGCAGGAACCGAGACCCGCAGCCGGAGTCCCTTCTTCGGCCCGGGCGCCCCCAGCTCCGGCCCCGCCCCCTCCGCGGATCCCCGTCCCAGGCCTTTTCACACTACCGCGGGGCATCCTCAGAGACCCCCTTCCTCCAACAGCCGCGGTGTCCTCTCAGAGCCCATCTCCCGCTCGGAGTCCCCAGACGCTCGCCCAGGAACCCCACCGGCCCGGACTCTCCTACCTCCCGAGCACCGGGGGACTGGCCAGGCCCGGCCCGATGTCCCCCGCGCGGCGCCGTTCCGAGCGGGCGCCAGTTCCGCGTCTGCACCTGGGGGCGCGCACCACTCGGCGCTGGATGCGGACGGAGGGGAAGCCGGAGCAGGGCCGTACCATTCAGCCCGGGGGGTCGGCGCCGCGCGAAGCCGAGTACCGCGGGGCGGGACCGACCTCGAGAGACAGCGGCTGCGCACACACCTAGCAGGGCGCCTGCGGGCGCAGGAGGGTGCGCCGGGTCGGCCCAGCGCCGACGCGTGCCAAGGGGAGGACACACAGCAGTACCTTCTGTTTGGGTTGCTCCGAGAGACTTTCGCCTTAGGGGGTCATAGCGCCAGTTTCGACAAATTGTGGATTCCTCTGAAAGTGACTTCCCAAGATAGTCGACCCCTGAGACTTCCTGACAGCTTCCCCATCGTCCAGCTCCCCCCCTCACGCTTTTTGGCGGTGCCCGGTGCCCGGGCTGCAAAGCCGGCTGTCGCGCGGCGGAGCCTACCAATCCTGGGCGACGGGGGCGCAGCGGGGCGCGCGGTCGCGGTTACCTCCACCGCGTGCGCGCAAGGGGGGGCGTGGCAGCGCCGCGGCGCCCGCTGGGAGATGGAGTCCAGTCCCTTCCCAAGGCCAGCCAGCCGCAGGACAGCCTCCTCGCGGCCACACGGCTCTTCTCATGCCACGGAGTCTGGGAGCCGAAACTGGGCACTGGGTCTTTCAGGTTGTGTCTTTTTCATATGCCAAATGAAAAAGTAAGGCATGCTACACACGCACGTGAGGTGCACCCCGAGGTCTTAGCTCTGAAATACAACACTTCCTACTCCCCCGCAGAAAGGCAACGTGATCCCACCTGGATCCCAGCAGGGGAAGGGCGTGCCTAAGCCTCTGCATTCCATTTACCCATGTGGCGCAGTGGGGGTTAGTAAGAAGAGGCCCTCTCTCACGGCCAAGGCTGTCACTTGGGACTCTCCTTCCTCTGGTCTTGGAGGTGGATCCTAAAGATCGAAGGCTTCCTCCTCTACTACCGTGTCCCCACCCCCAAACCAGAAATTGGCTCCTCTCATTTTGTATTCATTTTGATCTTCCTGTTCAAACAGTACCAGACCTATCAGTGAGGCGGCCCTGAGGTATTTATGGCCATACCACAGAGTGACAGTGGAGAATTTTTCTTGGGGCCTTGTGGGGAAAACAGGAAGTGGTGGAGGCAGGATGGGCAGGGCCCTGGAGAACCTTGTGCAAAGTGGCCCCCAGGCCCATCCGTTTCTGGGGTCAATGTGGTCTTCAGACACAGCACGGCGTTAGCCGGCGCCCCACTGCTCAGCAGCCACAAAACTCCGAACCTTCTGACTCTTTTAATCTCCTTGCCCAGCTCCCAGGAATGTTTGCCCTTTTCAGTCGGTTTCACTTCTAGGAGGCAGCCCCTGAGCCTCAGCCATCCAACCCAGAAAACAGAAAACTATGGGGAAAGAACAGTCATTCGTGCACATCCCAGATCTCAGAGAGCAGCGGTGGGAGCTTCTTGTCCTGCAGGCGCAGTGCAAACACTTGCTCTGAGTGGACGCTGCTCAGGGTCCGGAGGCTCACCAGTTTCATCAGCATTCGTGGGAACATCAGTCGGTCCTGGGGAAAGAAGAGAGATTCAAGCACAGCTTTTACCTGTCTGCAGGGAAGTGAGGCAAAGGTAGGGGAATTGTAGGAGAGGTGAATTGCCTGCACATCGTACTTGAAGGGAAAGCAGGTATGTCAGGGAACCGGCCTGTGCGTGGAAAGGAGGAAAAAGGGCACCATGGGGATACTCACGTGGGGATGGTGGATGGAGACGTATGCATGCAGGGCTTCCACATACGTGTGCTGCAGCCTCTCTACCTGGAGCTGGTCCTGCACGTTGGGCCGGTCTATGGGTCACCAAGAGAGTTGAGGAGCAGGTCTGGCCGGGGTCCAGATCCATACCCCAAATCGCAACCAAAAAATAGAGACGTGCTCCAGCCACCCTCTCCCATCCCAAAATAACATAGCAAATGTCTCCACCCTCCCAACCCACTCTTCGATTCCTGTGGGCCCGCAGCCCTCCTTGGTGCAAGTCTCTGGCTGTTTCCCATTGCCCCTCCTCCACACCTGCAGAGAAGATGCTGATGGCAATGAGCAAAGCAAACTCGGCATCATTGAGTTGCAGCTCATTCATGGCCCTGGAGAACTCGAAGATGGGGTTGATGAATTCCACCTGCAACCCTGGGGAGGAAGAAGGGAGGCTGATGCCTGTGGCAGAAGCAGCAGAAACTTCCTTCTCTCTCTAAGGCCTCACCTTAGGAAACTACTAGGAACTCACTAAGAAGTCTACAGAGGGGGGCCGGGCATGGTGGCTTATGCCTGTAATCCAAGCACTTTGGAGGCCAGGGCAGGCGGATCACCTGAGGTCGGGAGTTCGAGACCAGCCTGACCAACATGGTGAAACCCCGTCTTTAAAAAAAAAAAAAAAAAAGCCGGGCGCGGTGGCTCAAGCCTGTAATCCTACCACTTTGGGAGGCCAAGGTGGGCGGATCACAAGGTCAAGAGATCGAGACCATCCTGGTCAACATGGTGAAACCCCATCTCTACTAAAAATACAAAAAATTAGCTGGGCATGGTGGGGCGTGCCTGTAATCCCAGCTACTGAGGAGGCTGAGGCAGGAGAATTGCCTGAACCCAGGAGGTGGAGGTTGCGGTGAGCCGAGATTGCGCCATTGCACTCCAGCCTGGGTAACAAGAGCAAAACTCCGTCTCAAAAAAAAAATAAAGAAGTAAAAATAAAGAATTATACAGAAGGCCAGGCATGGTGGCTCAAGCCTGTCATCCCAGCACCATGGGAAGCACTGTGGGAAGCCAAGGTGGGTGGATCACCTGAGGTTAGGAGTTCCAGACCAGCCTGGCCAACATGGCAAAACCTCATATCTACTGAAAACACAAAAACTAGCCAAGCGCAGTCACAGGTGCCTGCAATCTCAGCTACTCAGGAGGCTGAGGCAGGAGAATCACTTGAACCTGGGAGGTGGAGGTTGCAGTGAGCCGAGATCACTCCACTGCACTCCAGCCTGAGTGACAGACCGAGATTCTGTATTAAAAAAAAAAAAAAAGGCCAGGAACTGGTGGCTCACACCTATAATCCCAGCACTTTTGGAGGCCAAGGGAGACAGATTACCTGAGCTCAGTAGTTTGAGACCAGCCTGGGCAACACAGTGAAACCCCTTCTCTACTAAAAATACAAAAATTAGCTGGGCGCCTGTGGTCCCAGCAACTTGAGAGGCTGAGGCAGGAGAATTGCTTGAACCTGGGAGGTGGAGGTTGCAGTGAGGTGAGATTGTGCTACTGCACTCCAGCCTGGGTGACAGAGCAAGACTCCAGCTCCAAAATGAAAAATAAAAAAAAGATTCCGTTTTCAGTAGGGCACAGTGACTCACACCTGTAGTCCTAGCTACTCAAGGCTGAGGCAGGAGGATCACTTGAGCCCAGAAGGTCGAGGCTGCATTGAGCCGTGATCACCACTGTATTCAGCCTGGGCGACAGAGTAAAACCTTGCTTCAAAGGAAAAAAAAAACAAAACATTTTTAACTGGCATTGGCCTTACTTATTTGAACACCAGAGACACATTTCATGTATCACATCCTAGAGGGAATACTGCAGCGTGGGTGAGACCCTGGTGCCAGACTGTCTGGGGTTGAATTATGGCTCTACCACTTACGAAGAAGTTATTTAACCTCTCTGGGCTTTGGTTTTCCCATCTGTAAAATGGGAATAATAATAGTACCTATCATAAATATGTGGCATATATGGTAACTACCACATAAGTGTTTGTAAAATTAGTAATAATTCATGTTTTTTGAGACAGAGTCTTGCTCTGTCTCTAGGCTGGAGTGCAGTGGCGCAATATCGGCTCACTGCAACTTCTACCTCCTGGGTTCAAGCGATTCTCCTTCCTCAGCCTCCTAAGTAGCTGGAATTACAAGCATGTGCCATCACACCCAGATAATTTTTGGTTTTTTTGTTTTTTTTTTTTTTTTTTGAGACTGAGTTTCGCTCTCGTTACCCAGACTGGAGTGCAATGGCGCGATCTCGGCTCACCGCAACCTCCGCCTCCTGGGTTCAGGCAATTCTCCTGCCTCAGCCTCCTGAGTAGCTGGGATTACAGGCACGCGCCACCATGCCCAGCTAATTTTTTGTATTTTTAGTAGAGACGGGGTTTCACCATGTTGACCAGGATGGTCTCGATCTCTTGACCTTGTGATCCACCCATCTCGGCCTCCCAAAGTGCTGGGATTACAGGCTTGAGCCACCGCGCCCGGCCGGAATTTTTGTATTTTTAATAGAGACAGTGTATCACCATGTTAGCCAGGATAGTCTCAATCTCTTGATCTCGTGATCTACCCTCCTTGACCTCCCAAAGTGCTGGGATTACAGCTGTGAGCCACCGCGCCCAACCAATAAATAATGATTTTTTAATGGAAATAGTCTTCCTGCTGAGAAGACTAAAATGCAACAAACCATGATCTAAAGTCATAACACCTAGAGAATACTTTCGCATACACATTGTCAAATTCTCTGCACCCTACCTTGTTCCCCAGGCTTTGTCAGATTTCTTTTAGCGACCATCTGCTACATTTTTCTATTCAAGGCTTCTTGGTTAGTCATTTCCTGTACTTTCACCTTGATGTTTATCAAGTATGTGCCTTAGTCCATTTAATGGGCGGGCCTCATTTTCTTTTCTTTTTTTTTTTTTTTTTTTTTTTTTTTTTTTTTTTTTTGAGACGTAGTTTCGCTCTTGTTACCCAGGCTGGAGTGCAACGGCGCAATCTCGGCTCACTGCAACCTCCGCCTCCTGGGTTCAGGCAATTCTCCTGCTTCAGCCTCCTGAGTAGCTGGGATTACAGGCATGCGCCACCATGCCCAGCTAATTTTTTGTATTTTTAGAAGAGACGGGGTTTCACCATGTTGACCAGCATTGGCCTTGATCTCTTGACCTTGTGATCCACCGCCTTGGCCTCCCAAAGTGCTGGGATTACAGGCGTGAGCCACTGCACCCCGGCCTCCCCCTTTTTTTTTTTTTTTGAGACAGAGTTTTGCTCTGCCACCCAGGCTGGCTCGATCTCTGCTCACTGCAACCTCGGTCTCCTGGGTTCAAGCGATTCTCCTGCCTCAGCCTCCTGAGTAGCTGAGACCACAAGCGTGTGCCACCACACCCAGCTAATTTTTCTATTTTTAGAAGAGACAGGGTTTTACAAAGTTGGCCAGGCTGGTACTGAACTGCTGACCTCAAATGATCCGCCCACCTCAGCATCCCAAAGTGCTGGGATTACAGGTGTGAGCTACTGCACCGCACCTGGCGGCAAGCCCCATATTCTCTTTTTTTGAGTCAGAGTCTCACTTACTCTGTTGCCCAGGCTGGAGTCTAGGCTCACTGCAACCTCTACCTCCCAGGTTCAAGGGATTCTCCTGCCTCAGCCTCCCAAGTAGCTGGAATTACAGGCATGTGCCACCACACGTGGCTAATTTTTGTATTTTTAGTAGAGATGGGGTTTCACCATGTTGGCCAGGCTGGTCTTGAACTCCTGACCTCATGATCTGCCCATCTCAGTCTCCCAAAGTGCTGGGATTACAGGCATGAGCCACCGCGCCCAGCCTGCAAGCCCCATTTTCTAAAGCATTTCTTGGTGAGGATTTGAGCCCCAAAGTATGGCAAACAGCCCCCTTTATACAGAAATTAATAAAAGATTCTATAATTGGCTAATGCACCTGTAAGGGTCTGCTGATGCTCGCGGAATGGACACCTCAAATGTGCTCGGCCCATGTCACCAGTCGTCTACTGTATGCAGTAATAGTAGTGGACAGAGAGGGGAGGAGGCCTGACAAACACAGCTCCTGTTCCCTTCTCCCCAAAACTTCACTCGTGAAATGAGAAATGAAAGGAAAACAAGATGACATCAAAACTGCTTATACAAATAAATCTATAAATAGGTACAGATTCAGATAGCACAAGTCTATGAGTACCAAAGGAATATAGAGATATTAGAACTGGGCAGAATTCCAAAAGGAGAATATTCTGAAGGAGAGAAGAGCCACGGTTAAGAAGACCTAAGATAGGGCCGGGCGCGGTGGCTCAAGCCTGTAATCCCAGCACTTTGGGAGGCCGAGGCAGGTGGATCACGAGGTTAGGAGATTGAGACCATCCTGGCCAACATGGTGAAACCCCTTCACTACTAAAAATACAAAAATTGGCCGGGCGCTGTGGCTCACGCCTGTAATCCTAGCACTTTGGGAGGCCAAGGTGGGTGGATCACCTGAGGTCAGGAGTTCAAGACCAGCCTGGCCATCATGGTGAAACCCCACTTTAAAAAAAAAATACAAAAATTAGCTGGGCATGGTAGCGAGTGCCTTTAATCCCAGCTACTCAGGAAGCTGAGGCAGGAGAATTGCTTGAACTCGGGAGGCAGAGGTGGTGGTGAGCCGGGATCGTGCCACTGCACTCCAGCCTGGCAACAGAGCGAGATTCTGTTCCCCCCACCCAAAAAAAAGCTGGGCTTTAAACCTCGATAAAGTCATTAAATTACCCTATTAGGTGCCAATACATGCAGGCAGCACACTGGGCAGTACAGAAGGCAAGAGGTGCCAACATAGCCCTGTCAAGCCCTGGCCCATTCGTGCCCTACAGCGAAGGAAGGCCTTCCTAGAAAGCTCACTGGGTGGGCCAGTGCTGGGAGAGGGAGATATAAGAAGTACATGAGCTGGCCTGAGTCATCAGAAACCAGGGAAGGCTTGATGACTGGCCCAGCCACAGACATACCAGTCCTGAGAATGGAGTCATGGCATCAGCCATATTTTATAGCCCCACTTATCCAGTTGTTAAACTACTTGGTTTCCTGCTGAAGCTCAATTCCAGCCACTCCAAAACTCCCTCAGCCTCCCATCCTTTCCCAGGCCAGTTCTGATCACACAAACATTGCCAATAGTTGAATATGAAGAAACCCCTTCTGCGTAGCTCCCAAGCAAGCATCAGCTAGAGAGCCACAATGTGAACTAATTCTTGGAGAAAATACTTCAGACACAGGGTGGGGATGGAAGCATTTGCTCTTATCGTACATCCCCTCTGGGCATGGTTCCAGTTCATCAGAAAGTGCAATTGAAAAAGAGGAGGGGAGACCCAGTGTGGTGGTTCATGCCTGTATTCCCAGCACTTTGGAAGGTCGAGGCGAGTGGATTGCTTGAGCTCAGGAGTTCGAGACCATTTCAAGACCAGCCTGGGCAACATGGCAAAACCCATTCTCTACAAAAAATATAAAAAGTCAGGACAGGCGGGGTGGCTCATGCCTGTAATACTAGCCCTTTGGGAAGCCGAGGTGGGAGGACTACTTGAGGTCAGGAGTTCAAAACCAGCCTGGCCAACATGGTGAAACCTCATCTCTACTAAAAATACAAAAAATTAACTGGGCATGGTGGTGGATACCTGTAATCCCAGCTACTTGGGAGGCTGAGACAGGAGAATCGCTTGAACAGGTTGCAGTGATCGTGCCACTGCACTCCAGCTGGGAAACAGAGCAAAAACTCCGCCTAAAAAATATATATTATAGCACCGGGCGCGGTGGCTCAAGCCTGTAATCCCAGCACTTTGGGAGGCCGAGGCGGGTGGATCACGAGGTCAAGAGATCGAGACCATCCTGGTCAACATGGTGAAACCCCGTCTCTACTAAAGGTGCAAAAAATTAGCTGGGCATGGTGGCGCGTGCCTGTAATCCCAGCTACTCCGGAGGCTGAGGCAGGAGAATTTCCTGAACCCAGGAGGCGGAGGTTGCGGTGAGCCGAGATCGCGCCATTGCACTCCAGCCTGGGTAACAAGAGCGAAACTCCGTCTCAAAAAAAAAAAAAATATATATATATATATATATATATAATATATAGTATATATTTTGTTTATATATTTGTTATATATTATTTATTATTATATATAATTTATTATATATTTTTATTTATATATATTTAATAAATATATACATTATATATATATATAATAAATTAGCCGAGTGTTGTGGTGCGTGCCTGTAGTCCCACCTACTTGGGGGGCTGAGGCAGGAGAATTGCTGGAGTCCAGGAGGTTGAGGCTGCAGTGAGCCGTGTTCATGCCATTGCACTCCAGGCTGGGTGACAGAGCAAGACCTTGTCTTAAAAAAAAAAAAAAAAAAAAAAGAATAGGGGAAATCAGCCCCCATGATCCCCAAAGAGCACATGTGAGGAAGATTTGTTCATTTTCTGACTACTAAAAGGTTCAGTGCAGTGAGTTTCAAACTTTTTTTTTTTTTTTTTTTTGAGACGGAGTCTTGCTCTATCACCAGGCTGGAGTGCAGTGGCACAATCTCAGCTCACTGCAACCTCCATCTCCTGGTTCAAGTGATTCTTCCGCCTCAGCCTCCCAAGTAGCTGGGACCACAGGCGCGTGCCACCATGCCCGGCTAATTTTTTTTGTATTTTTAATAGAGACGAGGTTTCGCCGTGTTGGCCAGAATGGTCTCGATCTCTTGACCTCGTGATCCACCCGCCTCGGCCTCCCAAAGTGCTGGTATTACAGGCATGAGCCACCGCGCCCGGCCCAAATATTTTTTTAAGCTATAAAATCTGCAAGCAAAATATTATGTAGCAGTGCAATATACAACGCGGATTTAAATGGAGCTTCTTGTTTGGCTAAAGTAAGAATGGAGGACATCTCTGTGCCTTCCTGTTTCTCCTCCAGCGTGCCTTTTCCATAAATCCCTCATGTTCCTTGGAACACAGTTTGAAAACTACTGACCTGAAGCAACAGAAGACAGGCGTCTATCTGGAGCAGATGAGAGAAGCCTATCAGCATTCCAATTTTCCATCTTCAAAAAACAAGGGGAGCCTTTCCTTACCAGCCACCCAAACATTGGACCTGTGGCTCTGTAGTCACTATGAGCCTATGACATAAAGCACCAGTCCTGGCCAGGCTCAGTGGGATTACGTGCCTGTAATCCCAGCACTTTGGGAGGCTGAGGCGGGTGGATCACTTAAGGTCAGGAATTCAACACCAGCCCGGCCAATATGGTGAAACCCTGTCTCTACTAAAAATACAAAAATTAGCTGAGCATGGTGGCGCACACCTGTAATCCCAGCTACTCGGGAGGCTGAGGCAGAATTGCTTGAACCCAGGAGGTGGAGGTTGCAGTGAGCTGAGATCGCACCACTGCACTCTAGTCTGGGTGACAGAGCGAGACTCTGTCTCAAAAACAACAGCAAAAACAACAACAGCAATAACAAGGTGTGGTGGGTGGCTCACGCCTGTAATCCCGATACTCTGGGAGTCCGAGGCAGGAGGATCAAATGAGGCCAGGAGTTTGGGACCAGCCTGGGTAACATAGTGAGACACTCTATCTCATTTTTTACAAATAAAAAAGAAGCACCTGTCCATCCAAGCCCAACCCCTGTGTGATCTCAGTTCTCACCTGCTTTAGCAAAGTCTTCCCGGTTATAACTGAAATCTTTGAGGAAGGTGATACTCTCACTCCCAGGGTTGTACCTCCGCGATGTCTCCAGAAGCATCACCTGCACACAAGCAGCAGACCTCAAACCGGGACGAGAGGGCTGGTCTTGGAGCATGGCCCCTTCCAGGGAGGCCGATTCCCCTCATCCCTGCTTCCCAGCGGATCTGGCTCTCCCAGCTCGATGTCTGGAGGCCCTCCCACAGATAATCCCACTCTGCTTCTCCCTTCATCCCTCGCCCTTCTCCAGCCACCTCGATCGCAGAGGTCTTTAGCAGGGCAATCTGGTCCTCCCGGCTGAGCTGCAGGAAGCCAGGAAGCTGTTTAGCAAAGTCAACTATCTCCTGCACAGAGACGATGGCCAGCTCAGTGAAGTGGGCAAAGCGCTGCTGACGGGCCTCCCGGCTGTGGGGGTCTGGTGCCATGGGCCAAGGCTACCCAGGAGGAAAAAGGCAAAGCGCTTTGAGTCGAACATCAAGAAGCCCACTGGTGATCTGGGTGCAGCCACCTCTCCCCAGGTGTGTCAAGTACCGTGACTCGAAGCTGGTCAGAAAAGGAGCGCCGGTTACACTGTTGCTGGGCAGCAACCAGCTTCTCGATCATGCCCAGTTGCTCTGGGCTGAGCTGGGGCAGGATCTGGGGGGGTGAGGAAGCCCTGAGGGGCAGGGATGTAGCATGAGCCTGTTCCTCCTCTTGCCGCTTCAGTTTCTTCAGGCGGATCTGTTCTTCTGACAGGACGCCTAAGGACAGGGCCAGATGTGAGGAGGGGCACAGATAAGGAGACAGGAAGCAAGAAGGGGGCAAAATAGGCGGTTTGGGGCTCCAGAAAAGCAGATAGCACTGGGTAAAGGGAAGTTTTTTTTTTTTTTTTTTTTTGAAACGAAGTGTCACATTCACCCAGGCTAGAGTACAGTGGCATGATCTCAGCTCACTGCAACCTCCACCTCCAAGATTCAAGTGATTCTCCTGCCTCAGCCTTCTGAGTAACTAGGATGACAGGCACATGCCACCACACCCGGCTAATTTTTGTATTTTTAGTAGAGGCGACAGGATTTCACCATGTTGGCCAGGCTGGTCTCAAACTCCTGACCTCAGGTGATCCACCTGCCTTGGCCTCCCAAAGTGCTGGGATTATAGGTGTGAGCCACTGCGCCCTGTCAAGAAAGATATTTTAATCCATACTTAGGGACCGGTTAGCCCCAGCAAGTTCAGGCACCTGTCTGTGGTCACACCCTGGCTCCCTCTTTCCCCTCAGCCTCTTCCCCACTCTAGCCCCGGAAACTCACACTCCTCCCGCATGCCAGCCTGGCGGCATTTGCGAAGCCGACACTCCTGGCACTTGCGACGCATATAGGTGTCCATGGGGCAGTGGCCGCCGCCGTGGCAGACATAGCGCGCTCCCTTGATGACGCTGCGGCGGAAGAATCCCTTGCAGCCCTCGCAGCTCAGAACGTTGTAGTGGAAACCGGAGGCCTTGTCCCCACACACGCTGCATAACTCGTTCCCCAGCATTTTGGGGGCTGGCCCCTTTTTCCGCTTTTGTGGACGGAGCTCTGGAGACAGGAAAGTGCCTCAGTGCTCTCCCCAGGGGAAAGAACTTCCCGTTCTCCCTGACTCAGCCACTGCCCTGGGCACCCAGTGACCTCCATTCCCTTCAACTCCATCTCTCTTTTATGAGAACAGTAGCCCTCATTTGCCAAGTGTCATTATGTTCTAGGTAGTGTATGACCCTTTTATATACACTGAACCTTATGAAAACCATACATTTATTTTATTTATTTATTTATTTTGAGACTGAGTCACTCTCTCGCCCAGGCTGGAGTGCAGTGGTGTGATCTCGGCTCACTGCAACCTCCACCTCCCAGGTTCTCCTGCTTTAGCCTCTTGAGTAGCTGGGACTATAGGCACGTGCTACCATGCCTGGCTAATTTTTTGTATTTTTAGTAGAGATGGGGTTTCACCCTGTTAGCCAGATGGTCTCGAGCTCCTGACCTCGTGATACGCCCGCTTCAGCCTCCCAAAGTGCTGGGATTACAGGTGTGAGCCACCACGTCTGGCCCATAATTTTTATTTACATTTTATAAACAAGGAAATTGAGGCTCAGAAAGGCCTAAAGTAGAGACAAAATTCACACTTCAATCAGTCAGATTTAGTTAGCTCCAAAGCTTTTGGACTTAACCATGAAATTATATATAAGGTAAAACCCCCCAAGGAACCTCTTCCAGATCCTACCTCCTCCAAGCCCAGAAGCTCCTCACCTGGGTGTTCTGAAGGGGGCTCTGCCCTGGTGAGCAGGGCTGTGGGCTCAGCAGCCTCCAGCCCCACCCCTGCAGTGCCCCCGGCAGAGTAGGGTATCCTGGCTTCCTCTCTGAGGGTGCAGCTGCTGCCTCCCTGGGCCTGGCTGCTTGCATCCTGTGTGCCTGGCTTCCACAGCGCCACTGCAGAGTCTGAGCACCAAAAGAGAGGCACAAGGGGGTCTCAGGCCCCATCCCGGCTCCCCTGCCCAGTGTTCTAGCTGGGAAACTGCAAACTTATCCCCGCCCTTAGAGGGCAGCAAAGTCCCAGCTCAGGCTTTGGGACCCTAGAGTCCGTGTGGGCTCTAGCTAGGACTAGTCACTTGTTTCTTACATCTCAAGCCCTCAATGAAGATAACCCTTGTCCCTTTGCGGGGCTGGAGGGTATGCATTTCAGAGATCAGACAAAACTCTTTAAAGCCAGAGCAGGGTAAGCACTCAGCTGGCCAGCTCTCTCCAGCAGCAAGCCCAGACTGGGGAGGACTGGGCAGGTGACTGCAAAGACCAGGCAGTGGAACCAGGGGAGAGGTGAACTGGGTGGGAGGCAAGCACCACTAAGAGTGACTCTGGACTGCTCTCTGGAGGAGGGAAGAAGGCAGGTAATGAAGGAGGCTGATTCCTGCAGGAGGCGAGGAGCCTGCGGTCTGGGCTCAGGGGAGAGGGCTGGAATGAAGCTTACCAGGAGGAATGTCAGGCACAGGGGCCCCCAGCCACAAGGACATCTCTTCCTGGAGCCCTGGTCATTACCAAGGCACTGCCCTGCAGGAAGGACCCAGGTTATACTCTTCTAGAACTGGGCTCCTTTCTGGCCTCAGCTCCCTCCTCCACCTGACCCTCCCTTTTATCAGTACCAACAATATCAGCTAACATTTACTTGCTATATAATAGCCTATACTAAGGACTTATTGCATTACTATTATGTTTTTTAGAGACAGGGTCTCCCTATGTTGCCCAGGCTGGTCTAGGAACTCCTAAGCTCAAGTGATCCTTCCACCTGGGCCTCCCAAAGTGTGGGGATTACAGGAGTGAACCACTGCACCCAGCCTGTTATGAGACTACATGCTTTCCTCATAATATCTCTCTGAAGTCAAGACTATTTTTTTTTTTAAGATGGGGTCCCTCTATGTTGTCCAGGTTAGAGCCCAGCACTATTCACAGGTGTAATAATAGTGCACTATCACCTCAAACTACTAGGCTCAAGCAATCAGCTTCCTGAGTAGCTGAGATTATAGGTTCACACTACTGCTCCCGGCTCAGGACTATTCTTTTTTTTTTTTTTTTTTCGTTACCCAGGCTGGAGTGCAATGGCGCGATCTCGGCTCACCACAACCTCCGCCTCCTGGGTTCAGGCAATTCTCCTGCCTCAGCCTCCTGAGTAGCTGGGATTACAGGCACGTGCCACCATGCCCAGCTAATTTTTTGCACTTTTAGTAGAGACGGGGTTTCACCATGTTGACCAGGATGGTCTCAATCTCTCGACCTCGTGATCCACCTGCCTCGGCCTCCCAAAGTGCTGGGATTACAGGCTTGAGCCACCGCGCCTGGCACCGAACTATTCTTAAACTCATTTTGCAGGTGAGCAAACTGAGGTTCAAAGAGATTAAGTAACTATGGTCACACAGGCAGCGGTAGAGTCAAGACTCCAACCCTGCTCTGACTCCAAAGTCTGGGCTCCTAGACACTGCCAGCCTTTCTCCCCCGAAGTGCCTTCCAGGCCAGCAGGGAATGTTTGGGTACATCTGCCCTGCTTCTCTCAGGCCTCTTCCCCCTCACTCCAACACTGAGGACAGCCAGAGTTGAGCAGGACCAGGAGACAGGATCAAAGCTCGCTCCACCCAGTGAAATACGCTGCTTATTAGAGACCCTCACTCGAGCCACTTTCCAGGGTCCCAGCACAAACCTCTTGTCTCCAAGAATCTCCCCAATTCACATGGAGGACCTCCTCCCCCGGAACCCCTCATGAGTTATTCTGGGACCCAGAGTCCTGTTTCTGTCCCAAGCTCCCATCACGATCACCCCTCACTTCTCCCCAGAAACCCCCTTTTCAGATCCTTAGGACACTCCCCTACCCCACCCCAGATACAGAGTCCCAGGCCACTGCTAAGGAGCAGACCCACCGAATCCCCAGGCCACCAGACTTCCTGGGTGGGCAGTCTCTGGAGCCCCCTTGCTGGGAGATGAGGATGGTGCAGTTCCCTGTCCAGAGGCCTTGGTGGCCAGCCGGCGAGCTGGAGCTGAGCACAAGCAGGACCTGGAACCCCAGGGAAGTAGCAATTTGGGGAAAGTCTGAGAGGAGGGACTGCCAAGGGGTCGGGCCACCCCTCCTTCCTGCCTGGCGACCGGAGCCCTCCCCTCCTCACCCCGCCCACAGGGCAGCTTCTCCATCAGGTTGGCTCCTCCCCAGCAGGCCGCCCCCTCTCCCGCCACTCCCGCCCCCCTACTCTCGGCCAAAGCAGTGGCATTTCCCTGCAGACTTGCCAAGTTCCATGTCTCTCCCCTTCCTCTCCTTACCCAGCGCTCTTAGCAGCTCTTGCAGAAGGACTGCCTCCCAGGAACCCCCACCCCAATCCCAGCAGCCTCCAGAGTCGGTGTTCCCTCCCCTCCATAGACACCTCGAGGAGCAAAGGTCCCGGCACGGCCCGGAATTGCGACACTGGGTCCCAGCCTGCTTTCCCAGCCTCTCTCCTCCTCCCTTGCCTCTGGGAAGAGGCCAAGAAGCTCTCCCCGGGCCTCAGCCAAGCTGGTAGAAATCCAGGGGTGGAGAGAGACAGGTGCTGGGCCTTCCAAGGAGTTTCTGAATGTGGGTGCCCAGCAGGGACCACAGAAAGAAGAGGCCAGGAGAGCCTTTGGTAGGAAATCTGCAATGAGTAATAGCAGGCCTGGGATGGGGGGGAAGGGTTGGCAGGAGGCGGGCAACTCAGGTGCCAGCACACAATGGACCTGGGAAAGTATGCAGGCTGCCTCATCTGAGGAACAGCCCTATCTGAAGTGATGGCAGGCTCCAGGCAGCAGCTACTGAGACTGTAGCCACTCTGCTGCCTGGGGCATGAAATCTGTGAAAGTAGACATCATATTTCATTGATTTCATCTCCCCTAAAACCGCTGAATCAGGGCCTGGCATAGAGGAGGCAACAGAGTACTTACTGTGTTCCTGTTTGTTGAATGAATAACAAGAAAAATATTCTCTTCTATCCCCTACTTGTTAGCCCTAGTCAATTTTTTTTTTTTTTTTTTTTTTTTTTTTTTTTTTTTTTTTGAGACGGAGTTTCGCACTTATTACCCAGGCTGAAGTGCAATGGCGCGATCTCGGCTCACCGCAACCTCTGCCTCCTGGGTTCAGGCAATTTGCCTGCCTCAGCCTCCTGAGTAGCTGGGATTACAGGCACATGCCACCATGCCCAGCTAATTTTTTTGTATTTTTAGTAGAGACGGGGTTTCATCATGTTGACCAGGATGGTCTCGATCTCTCGACCTCGTGATCCACCCGCCTCGGCCTCCCAAAGTGCTGCGATTACAGGCTTGAGCCACCGCACCCGGCCAGTCAGTTTTTTTTTATTCCTTTTCCTTTGAGGTGGGGCCTCGCTATGTTACCCAAGCTAGTTCCATACTCCTGGGCTTAAGCCATCCTCCCATCTCAGCCTCCCAAAGTGCTGGGATTACAGGTGTGCACCACCACAACTGTTGTAGTCAATTTCAACTCAGCATGTAGATTTGGTGTTCAGGCTCTGGGCTCAGATTCTGGGTTCAAATCCTAAACCTCTTATTACCTGTGTGATCTTGATTGAGCAAGTTACTTAATATATCTGAATCTTTGTTTCCCTATCTTTAAAATAGGAATATTTGAGCCAGCAATGGTATGTTGAAAAATAAAAAGGCCAGGTATGGTGGCTCATGCCTGTAATCCCAGCACTTTAGGAGGCCAAGGTGGGCAGATCACTTGAGGTCAGGAGTTTGAGACCAGCCTGGCCAATGTAGTGAAACCCCATCTCTACTAAAAATACAGAAATTAGCCAGGCATGGTGGTGCACATCTGTAATCCCAGCTACTCAGGAGGCTGAGGCAGGAGAATCGCTTGAATCTGGGAGGTTGCAGTGAGCCATCAGGCCACTGCACTCCAGCCTGGGTGACAGAAACTCCATCTCAAAAAAAATAAAGAAAGAAAAATAAATACAATAGGGATAAGAGTTATTTTTACCACACAAGGTTGTTGGGAGGTTGAAACTGTAGATCATGTTGGGTTCAGTGGCTCATGTCTAATCTGAGCACTTTAGGAGACCAAGGCAGATGGATCACTTGAGGTCAGGAGCTCCAGACCAGCCTGGCTTAACATGGTGAAACCCCACCTCTACTAAAAATCCAAAAAAAATTAGCTGGGTGTTGTGGCACATGCTTGTAATCTCAGCTACTCGGGAGGCTGAGGCAGGAGAATTGCTTGAACTTTTCAATTGCTTGAAAAGTTGCAATGACCCTAGATCACACCATTGCACTCCAGTGCCTGGGCAACAAAAGCAAAACTCTATGTCAAAAAAGACACACACACACACACACATACACACACACACACACACACACACACAGAGAGAGAGAGAGAGAGAGAGAGACCCGGGTGCAGTAGGTGCAGTAGTGGCTCACGCCTATGATCCCAGCACTTCAGGAGGCTGAGACAGGCAGATCATGAGGTCAAGAGATCAAGACCATCCTGGCCAACATAGTGAAACCCCATCTCTACTAAAAATACAAAAAAAAAAAAAAAAAGGCTGGGAGCGGTGGCTCACGCCTGTAATCCCAGCACTTTGGGAGGCCGAGGCAGGTGGATCACGAGGTCGAGAGATTGAGACCATCCTGGTCAACATGGTGAAACCCCGTCTCTACTAAAAATACAAAAAATTAGCTGGGCATGGTGGCACATGCCTGTAATCTCAGCTACTCAGGAGGCTGAGGCAGGAGAATTGCCTGAACCCAGGAGGCGGAGGTTGTGGTGAGCCGAGATCGCGCCATTGCACTCCAGCCTGGGTAACAAGAGCGAAACTCCATCTCAAAAAAAAAAATTAGCCAGGCCTGATGGCAGGTACCTATAATCACAGCTAATTGGGAGGCTGAGGCAGGAGAATTACTTGAATGCAGGAGGTGGAGGTTTCGGTGAGCTGAGATGGTGCCACTGCACTCCAGCCTGGGTGACAGAGTGAAACTCCATCTCAAAAAACAAACAAAAAAAAGATTTAAGAGGCCGGGCGCGGTGGCTCAAGCTTGTAATCCCAGCACTTTGGGAGGCCGAGGCGGGTGGATCACGAGGTCGAGAGATCGAGACCATCCTGGTCAACATGGTGAAACCCCGTCTCTACTAAAAATACAAAAAATTAGCTGGGCGTGGTGGCGCGTGCCTGTAATCCCAGCTACTCAGGAGGCTGAGACAGGAGAATTGCCTGAACCCAGGAGGCGGAGGTTGCGATGAGCCGAGATCGCGCCATTGCACTCCAGCCTGGGTAACAAGAGTGAAACTCTGTCTCAAAAAAAAAAAAAAAAAAAAGATTTAAAAAAAGAAACTACATCACAAATTATATCACAATGTAAGTTAGTGTTCAAGAAATGGTACCAGTTATCATCACCCTCCCAGTTCTTTCAGCTGGGGGGTCTTCCCATCACTTTAACTCGGTGCATTTTGAACTTTGTACTTGTTTCCATATACAACACAAACCCTTTACTATCTTTTCTGGTCCTTAGAGCAGCCCCAGGAGGAAAGGAAGGTAATAACCTGAGCTCCACTTGACAGAGGACACTGAAACTCATGTGAGGGCTTTTTCCAAGACCACACAGTTAGTGGCCAGGCTGGGATCAGAACCCAGATGTCCTCACTCCAGTCCCTGTGCTGTGTCAGAGTCCAGGACAATCTTGTCTTGTTGCTTCTTAGGCCAGTCAGGTGCTGGAATGGAAGCAGCCAGGGCTGGTGGGCTACAGGGGAGAAGCTGAGAACCCTGCAGATGCTCCAGTCCAGATGTGGGAAGCGAGGAGTGGAGGTTACTGCTGGTCATTCACCCCCTGCCCCATTCCCAGTTTCCTGCTCATGGGCTCTTCCTGTTTTGCTATGAACTCCAGTTCCCATGGGGCCCACATTAAAGCATTTGAGGACAGGGGGCCAGGGCAGGCAGCCAAAGGGACCAAAACAGATGAACAGGGCACCAGGGAAGAGAACAGAGGAAACAGGGAAAGAGTGAACAGTGGGTGTGGGGTGGGACAGGAGCCAGATGAGAAAAAGATGAAGGCTGAGGCAGAAGAGGAGCCTGGTGAAAGGCGGGGGGAAGCACAGGGTAGGACAGGGGAACAGGCAGGGGCCGGGGAGCAGTGTGAGAAGCAGCAGGCTGGGTGGTGTTGCAAAATCTGCCCATGTATTCATTTTCACATTTCAGAAAAGCCCCTGTGACACCCCCATCTCAGACTTCTGCCTCCAGCTTTTGCTGTTGTTCCCCCTCATCACAAGGTCATCCCCTCCCAAGGACCCCACCCTGGTCTGGGTATCTCTGAGTCACAAGCACCAGGCTCTCCTTTCCTCTCGCTTGTGTTCCCTCTTTGATTTTCACAAGGCCCCAGCTGTCCTGGAAAAGCAGAAACCAGGGACTGTAGTCCCTCAGAGGCTGGCACTATTCTGTCCCAGCACCCACATCACCAGTCCAGCTCCCTCCTCTACCTCCCAGAAGCTCCAGCCCAGCAGGGCAGTCAGAGATGTCCCTGAGATGCCTGGTTTCAAGAAATTCAGGACTCAATGGGCTGGGGCCTGGTGCCCTATCATCCGAGAGCTGGGAGAAGCCTCCTTCATCCACTTTGTTCTTCAACTCACTCTCCTGACACCTAGTCTCCCCACAGGTGGCTTCGCAGGATCCAGGGCCATATATGAGTCCCATCTGGAGGTGGGGGGTGGGGGCAGGCTAGGGCCAACTGCTGAAAAAGTAGGTCAAGGCACCAAATCCCCCAAGCCAGGGAGTTGGCCTCAGCCTTATCTCCTATTTAGGAGGAATTATAAACAGGACTTCAACTGCCAGAGCTGTCCTATCAGGTTACAGCTCAGAAACCCCAACCTTCATCCCCACAAAGAGGGAAAAGGAGGATAAGATGGGAGAAGACCAAAACCTGTTGGCAGTATTTCCACGGAGTTTCTGGAGATCAACCACTGAGACTTGCTTCAAGCCAGGGCAAGCGGTCAGGTGATCAGCAGCTGGAATCAGGTTCCCACTTTGCCAGCCCCAGCCCTGTGGCACAGTCCCAACAGCCAGCAGTTGTTAGGTCCAGAGCCCCCCAGTCCTGTGAGCCTCTTCTGTGTTTCCCTGGCTCCTGTAAGAAGCCATGTCCCTGAGAACACACTTGGGGATCTACCAAGTCATATATCTGGCCCCCCAGAACCTCCACAGGTTTCTTCTTGCAGCAAGGGGAAACTTGAAGCAGAAACAGGAGTATTCACCAGCCACGGTCACAGATACTATATGGCTAACCCCCCTGAAAGCACTCATTCCCATGAAGCAGGCCACAGGGTAAGGTTTGCAGGGATGGACAAGGGCAACTGCTTCTTGTTCCCTCCTTTACCATTCTGGAAGGGTGGAAAGTGTGGGGATCATCTCACAGACTTACTTGCGTATCTACTCAAGTGACTTCTGCCCAACCTTCCAATCACAAGAAAGGATAATCCAGAATTCTGGATTCCCAGACTTGAGTTCAGAGATGTTATCAAAGTAGAAAGGAAAAAGGAAACAGTTATTTCATCCCTACCACATATGTTTATCTTTACATGTATTATTTCATTTATTCTCACAGTAAACTCTAGGAGATAGTTACTAACAAGGGGCAAATATCAAATCTGAATACAGGTATAAGACTGGGTGTGGTGGCTCACACTTGTAATCCCAGCACTTTGGGAGGCTAAGGAGAGCAGATCACTTGAGTCCAGGAGTTTGAGACTAGCCTAGGCAACGTGGCAAAACCCCATCTTTACCAAAAAAAAAAAAAAAAAAATTAGCCAGGTGTGATGGCATCTGCCTGTAGTCCCAGCTACTTGGGGGGCTGAGGTGGGAGGATTATTGGAGCTCAGGAGGTCGAGGCTGCAGGAAGCCATGATTGCACCACTGCACTTAGCCTGGGCGACAGAGGGAAGACTGTCTCAAAAAAGAAGAAGAATACAATTATAGCTGATTCAGAAGTTCGAGCTCAAGCTCAAACAAACAAAAATCACAAACCTTCCAATTACATAAATCTGCCTCTTCAGATGCCTCTTTTTATGGTCTCAAAAACAAGAGGAAGAGGAAGAATAAGAAGATGACAAGTATAGCTGATTCAAAAGTTCAAGCTCAAGCTCAAACAAGCAAAAACCACAAACACACTCCATTTTATAAAACTGCCTCTTCAAATGGGAAAAAAATGGCTAATGTACCTAGATTTAGATTTACTTCCACCAACACAGGGTAAGGTAGTGGTTTCTGTACTCACCTTCAGAGATTCTGATTTATTTGATTTGGGATAGGCCCACGTATCCATCTATCTCACCATCTACTTTTTTTTTTTTTTTTTTTTTTCCATCTGTAGTTAGGAACCAAAGTGTAAGGACCATAGAATCAGGCAGAAAATGCAAAGGCTCGGGGGAAGCAAGTGAAGAAACTGGGGCTCAGCTCCAGGCCCTACTATCTATTTGTAATCAATCCCCACCCTTCCTGGAATAGTTTCTCCATATAAAAACTGAAATCACATCTGCTTCATCAATTGCTCCTACATGGGATTCTTGCAGGCACAAAGAATATAGACATATTTGAGCAAGTGGGAAGAAATGCAAAAGCTGGATTTGAGAGATGGTTAAAATTTGGTAAGCCAGAGTTACACTCTGAAAGTACAATGTTCTGGCTAGTTTGCAAGGAGAGAGGCTCATTAAAACAAAACACTCAAACCCCCTCCCCCCAAGTAATATGCAGTATTTTGCCAATCAGCCAGGACCCATTTATTTTATTTATTTATTTTTGAGACAGAGTCTCACTCTGTCACTTAGGCTGGAGTGAAGTGGCACAATCTCAGCTCACTGCAACCTCTGCCTCCTGGGTTCAAGCGATTCTCCTGTCTCAGCCTCCCAAGTAGCTGGGATTACAGGCGTGCATCACCATGCCTGGCTAATTTTTGTATTTTTAGTAGAGACGGAGTTTCACTGTGTTAGCTAGGCTGGTTTCAAACTCCTGACCTCAGGTGATCTGCCCGCCTTGTCCTCCCAAAGGGCTGGGATTACAGGTTTGAACCACTGTACCTGGCCTAGACCCCATTTTAGTCCCACTAATGTGAAAAGGTTTCCTTTGATAAAAACCTCTTTATTGAAAGCATTTTGGAATCTGCAATGCAATTTGAGTAGCCTGCAAGAAGCAGCCTATTATAGACTATTTAACTGAAAATCACAAAACTTGGCTTTTAATCCGTTCTCCTACTGTGAGTTTGGGTAAGTCACTTCCTATCTCTAGGTTTGTTTCCTAATCTGTAAAGTAAGAGGACTAGGTTAAATCAAGTATTCAGAGATGCTGATTTATGAAACCTCTAGTAGTCTTTGTGAGCCATTTGGGATTATGTGCAAACTTCCATGCGTGTGTTTATATGTGTGGACATTTTTCTGGAGGAGAGGTGCAAAATTTTCATGTAATTCTTAAAAGGGGTTGTGACTAAATAAGAAGGTCAAGAACTATTTTGCTACCCAGGCCTCAGCTCTTATTCTATTTGCTTCTCACCCTCCTCCATGACAACTCTGGAAGCAAAGTGTAGATCCTGAAGTATATGGAAATAATTGAATCTGGAGTCCTAGGGCAAAATAAGGACAGATAAGTGTGATCTTTTTTTTTTTGAGACAAGAGTTTCACTCTTGTTACCCAGGCTGGAGTGCAATGGCGCGATCTTGGCTCACCGCAACCTCCGCCTCCTAGGGTTCAGGCAATTCTCCTGCCTCAGCCTCCTGAGTAGCTGGGATTACAGGCACGCGCCACCATGCCCAGCTAATTTTTTGTATTTTTAGTAGAGACGGGGTTTCACCATGTTGACCAGGATGGTCTCGATCTCTTGACCTCGTGATCCACCTGCCTCGGCCTCCCAAAGTGCTGGGATTACAGGCTTGAGCTAAAGACACTGTCTTGCTCTTTCACTCAGACTGGAGTGCAGTTGCACCGTCATGGCTAACTGCAGCCTTGATCTCCCAGGCTTAAGGTGATTGATCTTCCCACCTCAGCCTCCCAAGGAGTTAGGTGCATGCCACCACACCTAGCTAATTTTTACACTTTTTTTTTTTTGGTAGAGACAAGATCTTCCTATGCTGCTCAGGCTGATCTTGAACTCCTGGGCTCAAGCAATCTTCCCACCCTGGCCTCCCAAATTACTGGGAATACAGACGTAAGCCACCACACCAAGCCTAATCAGTTTTTTGCTGTTATTGTTGTTCTGAGACGGAGTCTTGCTCTGCCGCACAGGCTGGAGGGCAGTGGCCTGATCTCGGCTCACTGCAACCTCTGCCTCCAGGGTTCAAGCGATTCTCCTGTCTCAGCCTCCTGAGAAGCTGGGATTACAGGAGTGCACCACCACACCCAGATAATTTTTTTCTTATTTTTAGTAGAGACAGGGTTTCGCCATGTTGTCCAGGCTGGTCTCGAACTCCTGACCTCAGGTGATCCGCCTGCCTTGGCCCCTAGGCGCCCAAGCCTGATCAGTTTTGTTTCCCAAAGATCTGAGATTTGCTTCTATTAGGCAGATCTGAATCAAAGCATTCCCAGGACCTATGATCTTAACTTCTGCAACCCTCCACAGGAGTCACAAAGTCCTGAGGCCAAACTGGCTGTACCTGAATCCTGATGGCCAAAATCAAGAGGGCCACTGATTGTATGGAAACCCAGCTACTCCCACTTTATGGTATGTACCTGCCCCTTACCTCAAAATACCTCTCCACTGTTCTGAAATTCCTCCCCTAGGAATTCAGCACTTTAGTTTTGCAAAGTTTGAACATCCTGTGCAACCCAACTCCTTTGGAAAGAGGCATGACGTCTTGACTCTAATTAACTAAAACTCGGAAGTGGAGGAGAGGAAGGACAGGGAAAGGACTGGAAGGGGAAGTGAGAGGGCTACTGAAGCTTTGTGCGGGACAGGAACGGTAGGCTGGACTGGCAGCAACCTCAAGGACACAGGGAGTCCAAAGGGTTGTTGACATACTGCGCCCTGCACCCCAAGTAAAACGTCTCTCAGAGAACAGGGCCAGGGCTCAATCTCCACCAAAGGCAGGCGCGTGGAGAAACGGGACCTCTACTTTCCCATCCCTCGCCTCGATTCTGCACCCGCTCTAGCTAGGGGGTCAAGCCCAGCAGCACCCGGACTGGAGGGGATATTTGCTCTCCAGGCCACAGTCCCGCCCACTGCAAGCGCCACCTTGGTAAGGGATTTCTCCGGGCAGAAGCAAACGGGAACTCATGGCCTTCTTTATTAAGATGAGATCTTCGAGTTCTGGCTGCCGCGCCAGGTCGCGCTACATTCCAACGCTCCTCCGCCACAGCCAGATCACTACACTCCTGCACGCGTTCCCACCGAGACTGCGCCTTCTTCCCCAACCCGAGCCTGTCCTTAAGTAAGATGGAGGCGAGCGCACTTCCGGCGTGTGTCCTTACGGGTGCGTCCGGGCGGCTGCTGCAGGTGCCACCTAGCAGGTTCCAGCCTCTTTGCTGCATAGATTACAACGGAGATGGCGGGCAAGCAGTCCGGCTGGAACCCGGTGGCTCTCCTCCAGCTCCTTCTCTGCGTGAACCCGATGGTGATGCCGCCCACCCAGGCCCGGAGTCTGCGCTTCGTTACCTTGGTAATGAGAGATGGGGTCACCAAAGAGTTCCCCGAAGCTAGAAGGGCAAAGGCCAGCTGGTGAGGGTCGGGGATCTTGGGAAGGAACAGCTGATTTAGGAGGGGACGCCTGGCCTGGAAAGCTCGGGGGCTGGGTTCAGGATTGACGTGAAGCCTTGGGTTATGGGGGTCAGGGCGACCGAATAGGTCGGGGTGAGTCTGCCCTGAGACAGGGAAGTAGGTGAATGATTAAGACTCATCTCTAAAGAAGCCTTTGGTTATCTTCTTTTCCCAAGTCCCCACCACACACATTGCTTTCACTTCTCTTTTCCCTTCCCACCGTACCTTGGCTTTGCCTGTGGTCTCCAGTGGCATTGTTTAGCCAAGTTAGAATCTCTGGAATCTGGAAGAAGTGACTGACTCCTAGCTGGGGTCTTTTGTAGCGAGTAGGCTTCCCAGAGGGAATGAGACTTCCTTCCCCAAAATGGGGCAAAAGATAGGCTCTGGGTTCCTATCAAGGAGACCCTTCTGACCTATAGGCCAACCATTTTCTTCCCTCAGCTGTACCGCCACGGAGACCGTTCACCAGTGAAGACATATCCCAAGGATCCCTATCAGGAAGAAGAATGGCCCCAGGGGTTTGGTCAGTTAACCAAGGTGGGTCAGAAGCCAGCCTTTCCTCAGGGTGAGCTGCAGAATGATGTCTAGAGCAGGCTACAGAACTTGGGCCCTACTCAACTGCCTTTTCCCACATGGGTGCGGACTTTGACCACATTTCATAACCTTCATCTCTGCGCCCATGATATTGCCATGCATGACTGTCCACTTAATGAAAGACTTCTGGGATCAGAGTAACTCACTCCAGCAAAGGGTAAACCTGGAAAGCAACAGGGCCTATACCCTATGGGGCTTGTGAGCCACCCCTTCCCTCTAGACCCTCTTAACCCTTGAGTTTGCCCACAGGAGGGGATGCTACAGCACTGGGAGCTTGGCCAGGCCCTGCGGCAGCGCTACCACGGCTTCTTAAACACCTCTTACCACCGGCAAGAGGTAAGGCTGGGAGCTCCAGAGGCAAAGGGAATGGGGGGTGTGCTGCCCTCATCGTTTGCCCTCAGGAAGCCCAAGGCTGAGACTGAGCACTTTGACCTCCTTCCCGTATTTTTGGTCACAACTACAGGAAAAGACATCTGAGAGCTGTCTGGAACAAAGCTCTAGGAGCTGAGTTGCCCCTGATTGGCTGGGAAGAGGCAAACCTGATTAAGCATCCAAATTCAGACTTAAGGGTGGGACTGGCAGAGGGTTTCCTGACTCTGTGAAATCACAGGCTTTCCATCCAAGACATTTACTGAGTACCTATTAAAGGCCAGGGACTGTGCTAGCACTTTGCACACAGTGGTGCACCACACAGATATGCTGTCTTCATGGAGCTTAGAATGTCATGGAATGTCATGGGGGTATCTGATGATAAACCAGATGGAGCCAAGATGAAAGGTGTTGAGGAAGACATGCATAGATAGGGCACATCAGGGAGACTGGCGAGTGTGCCTGCTCCTTGAGTCCTCGCCCCACCCCCACGATGGGGAAACTGTTCCTCTGGTTACCACGCTCAGCCACAGCTGTCTCAAGAGTCCCTAAACATTATTGTTCCCTGAAGGCCGAGCTCTGTCCTAAGCTTGTTCTTCCTCAGTTTCCTCCTCCCTTTTCATGAACCACTGTCTCATGATCTCTTCAGAATATGTACATATATTTTAAAGGGGCCTCGCTCTGTCACCCAAACTGTAGTACAGTGACCCAGTCATAGCTCACTGCCACCTCAAATTCCTGGGCTCAGGTGATCCTCCTGCCTCAGCCTCCCAAGTAGCTAGGACTACAGGTACCCGTTACACCTAATTTTAAAATTTTTTGTAGAGACAGGGTCTCACCGAGTTGCCCAGGCTGGTTTCAAACTCCTGGCCTCAAGTGATCCCCCTGCACTGGCCTCCCAAAGTGCTGGGATTATAGGCATGAGCCATGAGGCCCAGCCTTTATCTTATTTTTTGCTCCCTGGTCTCTAAGGATAGTCACTGGAAGCAGTTTCTGCCCCAAGGACCCTGATCTAGATAGGGAGACAGGTGTTGTTATAAAGCCAGACAGACTAGAAAGCCTTACTGATTGACTAAGCACTTTTGACTGGGAGGCAGGGGCATGGAGTCTTGCTTTGTCACCAGGTTGGAGTGCAGTGGTGTGATCTCAGCTCACTGCTATCTCTGCCTCTGGGTTCAAGCAATTCTTGTGCCTCCGCCTCCTGCGTAGCTGAGATTATAGGCACGTGCCACCACATCCAGCTAATTTTTGGATTTTTAGTAGAGACAGGGTTTCATCATTTTGGCCAGGATGGTCTTGATCTCCGGACCTCATGATCTGCGGAAAGGGCATTTCAATTAGTGCCATTTCCACCGGAGTTCTTCACAGAGCTATGACAACCCCTAGTGGAGTGTTTGAGAAACAGGGAAGGCCAGAGGCGAGAGCAGGGTGAGGGCCAGAGACAGGGTATCAAGAAAAAACAGGTTCTCCCCTGCGGCTCCACTTTGGGGTGACCAAAACTTCACACACACGCACGCACGCACACACACACACACGTAAGGCTTGTGTTGCCATCTCTGCAGGTTTATGTGCGAAGCACAGACTTTGACCGGACTCTCATGAGTGCTGAGGCCAACCTGGCTGGACTCTTCCCTCCCAACGGGATGCAGCGCTTCAACCCAAACATCTCGTGGCAGCCTATCCCTGTGCACACTGTGCCCATGGCTGAGGACAGGGTGAGAGTGGCCAGCCCCACCGGGGTGGCGGTGACGGGACAGCTCTGGCCGTGGACCTGCTGACGCCAGGCTCCTTTTCCCACTGCCTTTTCCTCACTTTGCTCTACAGCTGCTGAAGTTCCCGTTGGGCCCATGTCCCCGTTATGAGCAGCTGCAGAACGAGACTCGGCAGACACCAGAGTATCAGAACGAGAGCTCTCGCAATGCAGTGAGTAGGGGCGGAGGTGGAGGTCACCATGCTGTCTTTTCCCCACAGCAGGACTGATCCCCCGATCCATTTTCCATAGCAATTTCTGGACATGGTGGCCAACGAGACAGGGCTTACAGACCTGACACTGGAGAGCGTCTGGAATGTCTACGACACACTCTTCTGTGAGGTGAGCCCACGAGGGTGCTCACTCTGGTCACTCTTCTCCCCCTCAGCAGGCCCAGGTCACCAGGACAGTAGAACATGGTGCCTGATACTGTCACGCCCCTGGGGAGGTCCAGGGAGGCTGTGCTTGTGAAACCTGGGAACTTCCCTCACTGGTGACAGAGATCCTCAGAGTGGGAAACGGTTTGTTAATTGTCAGCAGTCCCTGCCGCTCTCCACCCAGAGCTCCTTTCTGCTGAGTCTCACTTTTCATGCCGGGGCTTCCTTGCCTGTACCCTGCAGCATCCACACCGACTGCCATGTCTACTGGCTCCAGGCCCTCTCCCTCTCTCTTCTCTCCCTCCGTCCCTCACACACACAGGCACCTTCCCACTGGGGAAGAGAGCTGCCCCCTGGAGAGGCTCTGGCCTAGGCCTGGGGCACTAACCTGCCCGCTGCGATACACAGCAAACGCACGGGCTGCGCCTGCCGCCCTGGGCCTCGCCCCAAACCATGCAGCGTCTGAGCCGGCTGAAGGACTTCAGCTTCCGCTTCCTCTTCGGAATCTACCAGCAGGCGGAGAAGGCCCGGCTTCAGGGGGGTGAGTGACAAGGGCAGCATGTCACTCTGCTCCTCAGGACCCTAAGGTCTGCTATGGGGGCTTCTCACACACTTCCCTCTCTACTGAAATATTCCCTGCTCTTTCAAAACGAAATCCCCCTCCTCATGCTGTCAGTCACCAGATTTCCCCAGCTCTCCCTCTTTTCTGCCATTCATACTCTTTTTTTTTTTTGGAGATGGAGTCTCACTCTGTTGCCCAGGTTAGAGTGCAGTGGCACAATCTCAGGTCACGGTAACCTTGGTTCCCGGGTTCAAGCAATTCTCTTGCCCCAGCCTCCCGAGTAGCTGGGATTACAGGTGTGCACCTCCACACCCAGCTAATTTTTGTATTTTTAGAAGAAAAGGGGTTTCACCGTGTTGGCCAGGCTGGTCTCGAACTCCTGACCTCAGGTGATCCACCTGCCTCGGCCTCCCAAAGTGCTGGGATTATAGGCATGAGCCGCTGCACCCGGCCTATTTATTTATTTTGAAACAGAGTCTTACTCTGTCACCCAGGTTTAAGTGCAGTGGCGTGATCTTGGCTCACTGTAACCTAGGTAGAGACCTCCTAGGTTCAAGGGATTCTCCTGCCTCAGCCTCCCAAGTAGCTGAGACTACAGGTGCATGCCACCACACCCAGCTAATTTTTGTATTTTTAGCAGAGACAGGGTTTCAATATATTGGTCAGGCTGGTCTCAAACTCCTAACCTCTGGTGATCTGCCCACTTTGGCCTTCCAAAGTGCTGGGATTACACGCATGAGCCACCGCCCCCAGCCCTGCCATTCATATTCTTAAGTTTCACCCACATCAGAAGATCCTCCCTCTCCTAAATGAATAGCCAACCCCAGAGAACCACTGGGGGCCATTTTGAGAAGGCTGAGAGTAACACACACACCAGCTTCCTCATTTGAGCACCCAAAGGCATGCCTGCTGTCAAACCTTTTGACATCTTAGTTTTCAGAGGATATGGCAGTTACCTGACAAGGACTCACCCACTGTGTACTCTGAAGCAATCTTAAGTTTACATTTGTTTCAAACTGAAGTGCTTCTATAAACATGGGCAGGTTTCCACATCCGTGATGAAATATAGGTAGAGGCTGGGTGCGGTGGCTCATGCCTGTAATGCCAGCACTTTGGGAGACTGAGGTGGGTAGATCACCTGAGGTCATGAGTTCGAGACCAGCCTGGCCAACATGGTGAAACGCCGTCTCTACTAAAAATACAAAAATCAGCTGGGTGTGGTGGTATGCACCTGTAATCCCAGCTACTGGGGAGGCTGAGGCAAGAGAATTGGCTTGAACCCGGGAGGCAGAGGTTGCAGTAAGCCGAAATCGTGCCACTGTACTCCAGACTGGGCGAAAGAGCAAGACTCTGTCTCAAAACAAAAAATAAAAAAAGAAAGAAATATAGGTAGATATCTTGTTTTGTCTTGTGTCCTTCTGTACATTTGACAGTTCTTAAGAGATAGGAGTGCCACAGAGTTCCTGCATGGTCCCTATGACACTCAAGAGTTCTCCATGTAGGTGATGAGGCCCAGGACTGGCAGGGGGCGAAAGGAGCACAGACAGGTCTAATTAGAAGGCAGAGGTGGCTGTAGCCACCAACACCAGGGACTTTTCTCCTTCAGGAGTCCTGCTGGCTCAGATACGGAAGAACTTGACCCTAATGGCGACCACCTCCCAGCTCCCCAAGCTGCTGGTTTACTCCGCGGTAAGCGCCTGTGCTCCCTGTGCTGTGTCAGGCAAGGAGCTGGATTTCTTCTCAGTTCCTAGGGATGCAGGGAACAGTGCTGATGGGGAGCCCCTCTCCCTCACAGCACGACACTACCCTGGTTGCCCTGCAAATGGCACTGGACGTCTACAATGGCGAACAAGCCCCCTACGCCTCCTGCCACATATTTGAACTGTACCAGGAAGATTCTGGGTGAGTGGAGCTAGCAGTGTTCTCTGGAAGGGGCCCTCAGGGGGTGGATCAGGGCAGCCCAAGGACCCCATTACGGGCAGGCTGAGCAGCTCCCAGGTGGCCTCCTGTCAACCCTCAGGAATTTCTCAGTGGAGATGTACTTTCGGAACGAGAGTGAGAGGGCCCCCTGGCCACTCAGCCTGCCTGGCTGCCCTCACCGCTGCCCACTGCAGGACTTCCTTCGCCTCACAGAGCCCGTCGTGCCCAAGGATTGGCAGCAAGAGTGCCAGCTGGCAAGCGGTCCTGCAGACACAGGTGAGCTGTCGCTGGCACGCTGCCACGGGCTTCTTTGCTAGTCACGCCCCAGACCAACCTGCAATTCACATCCACAAATCTCTAGAGCTCTTGAACTTCCAGCCATCTGACTGCATTTGCCGGGAGTCTCCTCCCCAGACGGCTTTGTGCCTTCTCCTGACTCCTCGCTCTCAGGTGATGTCTCACTTATATCACCGAGAAAATAAAAGCCAGGAGAGAATCAGCTTGTTCTCCCACCACCAGCTTCCCTGGCTTACTTGCTGGGGGAAGCCACTGCTTAGGGTGGCCTCTCCATCTGCACTCGGGTTCTCTCTCCTTACCTCTGCAAGGAGCTCTGATGCCTCTGCTTCTCTACTGGATCACTTCCCTTCCAAAAGCCCATCCAAGACCTCTGAGAGCCACCTCTTCCCCAGCCACCAGCCTCTTCCCTCTCAGAATGGAATCCACAAAAGAGCTGCCTAGATTCTGGCTCTGCTTCCTCACTGCCTGTTCTCTTAGACTCACATTAGACAGTCTTGTGTCACCTTCCACTACCCTGAAGCCACACTTGTCTTGTGACCAGTGACCTCCTCTTACCAAAACTAGTGACCAATTCTTAGCTTCTCTCACTTGTCAGCAGCATTATATAACTGGTCACCCCATCCTGAAACACTTTCTCGGCTTCTCCTGACTTTCAGGCGTCCCTTCCTCACTAAAGAACAGATGACCCAGGACTCATCCCTGGAGCTTTCCCCATCTGTGCACACTCCCAAGTGATCTCATGCAGCCTTGTTACTTTATGCCCATCTTCATGCTCACTTCTGTCCTTATGCCCTGACTCACAGATTCACGACCTCTTCTCTGAGCTACAGATTCATCTCCAGCTGCCGACTTGAGGGCTCTACGGGCATGTTAAGTCATCTCCAAGTCGCAGTGTCTAAAACCAGATGCTTTTCCTTCCAAAGCTGCTCTTCTTCCAGGCTTCCTTGTTTCAGTAAATGCCACAAGTCACCTAGTGGCAAAGTGTAACCCTTGGGGTCATTCTGAATATCGTTTCTCATGCCCCTCATCCAGTCCACTGCCAGATCAACTCAGCCTTTCCAATATTAAAACACGCTCTTGCCTTCCTTCAGTCCGATCTACCATCAGCTCTTGCCTGACCAACTGAAATGCTCCCTAAAGTTCTTTCTGGTTCTATTCTTGTCCCTGCCAGTCTTTTCAGCACAGCAGAGTTAACTTTTTTTTTTTTTTTTTTTTTTGAGACGGAGTTTCGCTCTTGTTACCCAGGCTGGAGTGCAATGGCGCGATCTCGGCTCACTGCAACCTCCGCCTCCTGGGTTCAGGCAATTCTCCTGCCTCAGCCTCCTGAGTAGCTGGGATTACAGGCACGCGCCACCATGCCCAGCTAATTTTTTGTATTTTTAGTAGAGACGGGGTTTCACCATGTTGACGAGGATGGTCTCGATCTCTCGACCTCGTGATCCATCCGCCAGAGTTAACTTTTAAAACACATAAACCAGTTGACGCTACTGTCCTCTCAGCATTTTCCAATGGCTTCCCATCACATATGGAAGAAAATCCAAGTTCTTCACCACAGCCTTCCAGGCCCTGCTCCATCCGGTCTGCTGCCCCATCTCCTACTTGGTCCTTGCTTACTCTGCTCTGGTGAGACTGACTTTCTGGGTGATCCTAGCACGGGCCAGGCTTATCCCCACATCTGGTCCTTTTGCTCTTCCTTCCTGTCCTCTGCCCCATGACACTCTTCTCAGATCACTGTATGTCTTTGATGCCAGGTCTCTGTTAAAAATCTCACTTCCTCAATGATGCCTTGCCTGCTAACCTACTTTGTTTTGTCTCTCTGTACCACATTCATCACTGACCTGTCACTCCTATCATGTTTTTTTTTTTGAGACAGTGTCATTCTGTTGCCCAGGCTGGAGTGCAGTGGCTTGATCTTGGCTCACTTTAGCTTCCGCCTTCGGGGTTCAAGTGATTCTCCCACCTCATCCTCCTGAGTAGCTGGGACTACAGGCATGCACCACCATGCCCAGCTAACTTTTGTGTTTTTAGTAGAAACAGGTTTTCCCCATGAAGGCCAGGCTGGTCTCAAACTCCTGACCTCAGGTGATCTGCCTGCCTTCGCCTCCCAAAGTGCTGGGATTACAGGCATGAGCCACTGTGCCCAGCCCATTTGCTTGTTTATTGCATCCCCTCTCCCAGCATGTAAACTCCATGAGAGCAGCGACTCTGTCTTGGCCACCTGTGTATCTCCTGTACAGTACCTGGCATATGACGGAACACTGATATGACATTTCTCTTTCCTCCCCATGCCCAGAGGTGATTGTGGCCTTGGCTGTATGTGGCTCCATCCTCTTCCTCCTCATAGTGCTGCTCCTCACCGTCCTCTTCCGGATGCAGGCCCAGCCTCCAGGCTACCGCCACGTCGCAGACGGGGAGGACCACGCCTGACAACCATTCAGCCCCCTTCGGAGGTGGGCTGGGCCCTCACTCCTGACTGTTGCTGCTCCCCAGCCCATGGACAGGAGACCCTGGGTTGGGCCTCTCTCTGATGACCCTAGCCAGATGAGCGAGTGGGGTTCAGCATGGCCCGTGGTCACGCCTGTCACCCAGCATTCCCATGCCTGATGTTTACCAAGTGCTATGTTGGACACTGGCTTTCTCCAAACAGGATTTGCCTCCTCCACACTCCCTACACACCCGAGATGGAAACTGGCGGTCGGTGTTCACTCAGGACCTAGGATTAGAGAATGGCAGAGTTGGTGCTCGATCCGCCTTGCACTTCTGTCAAGCCCTGCTCTTTCTCCTCCAGTCTGGTCTCTGGCGAATGGCTCAGAGGACACGGTCTTCCCTCTCATGAGTGCTTATTTTAGTGGGAAAAACAGCTAATACTAGGAGTACGAATATTGGCTCCCAAGGAACTGGGTCACCCAGCAACCAGCCAGCCACATTTCCCTTTGCCTGGAGCCACCATCGGACTCAGACAGAATGCTTCCGGAATCTTTGCCACCCTTTCATCTGGAGCAGGTCGGAAGGGTGTCTGTACTTGGGAGGGAGTGGGGAGTGGTGGGAGGGGAGCTGCTTGTCACACGGAATCAGGACACTGCTCTCCCTCAGCTGGGCTGGGGTCTCCAGGGACTTGAGTGACATGGAGGTTGTGAGCTGGAAAGCTCTAGACTGTGGTCCAGAATAGGGCTGGGGCAGCTCCTGGAGAATGAAAGTTTGGACTGCTAGTGCTCTTTCCTGTGCCTTTTCTTCATTTCTGAGACGCAGGAAGCTCTCTGACCAGGTCACTTCTGGAAAATCCACGCAGAAGCTCAGTCAGGTATGGTTTTATTGGCCATATCAAAAGAGAGCACAAATCAGATCACTGCTTGATCCCTCTGCTACCACACACCGAGGAGAAAAGTCATTTAGTTCCAAGAGAAGTTTGGTTCCAGGATAGATACAGTGGGACCCTTGCAGCAGCTGCATCACCAACTCTGGAGCAGTCCAGAGCAGTCCCACGACAGCGTCCCAGTCCCACAGTGCCTCAGGCCCCAGCACCCCTGTTCCAACCCTACATGTGGATACGTTAGGCCCTTTAACAAATTGCCACCTCTTGTAGGACTTGACCTCATGTGTGGGCGCCAAGGCCTTGTCTGGCCCACACCTTCTTTAGTGTCTCTCATTTCCGTGTCCTGGCTTCCTCCTGGCTCCAAATGAGAACGTGGTAACCTAGAAGGAGTGAGACCAGTCTGACTTACACCTTCTGTTCCCAGCCTCTCAGAGATTGGGGCTGGCCTGGGAACCTCGGATTTCACAAAGAAATATTAGGAAACTGGCCGGGTGCGGTGGCTCACGCCTGTAATCCCAGCACTTTGGGAGGCCAAGGAGGGCAGATAATCTCAGGTCAGGAGTTCAAGACCGGCTTGGCCAACATGGTGAAACCCCATCTCTACTAAAAATACAAAAAACATTAGCCGGGCATGGTGGCATTTCCCTGTAATCCCAGATAATCAGGAGGCTGAGGCAGGAGAATCACTTGAACCTGAGAGGCAGAGGTTGCAGTGAGTCAAGATCACACCATTATACCCCAGCCTGGGCAACAAGATTGAAACTCCATCTCAAAAAATGAAAGAAAGAAATACTAGAAGCTGGAAAGTAACCAGGCATTGCATGACCAAGACAAAGCCAGAGGGTTGGAGGGCCTCAGCTAAAGAGACCACTGTCTCCCAGCCATCTTCTTCACGGGCCACTGCCCTGGGGAGAATGAGGCAGGGCAGGGCTGAGGTTGGCCGGCACTGAACCTTGGGCAGTAGGGTCAGGCTTGGCAAGTCAGATGCATCCTCCTCCTACTCACCCATTGCAGAGGCCAGCGTGTCCCCCATAGGATTGAACTCATTGAGCTGCAGAGATAAGAGTGTCAGCATGAGGAAGGGGTACGGTATTAGCAAAGACAGAGAAGGGCACAAAAGGCCTAATGTCTGGTCATTTCTGATCAATAATGTAGGTTGAATCCCTGCCTCCTGCCATCATTCTCTGAGGGTCCAAGCCTCACCGAACTAATGCCAGAAGATTCTGGGTCGTAGAGCTGACACATCATCTTCCCTGAGTTTCCATCGAACACATCGATTGTCCTCAATTCATAGGGAGTACAACTCTTGAAATTAGGATCTGGGTATCGGCCGACGACAATGAGGTTATAGCGAGGATGCCAGGCTGCCTAGGAGATGGAGGCCGGTCATGAGAGTAAACATAGAACAGGGTCAAGAGGGACATCAGAAACAAACAACAACAAAGAGGGACATCAAAAGTATTCTTTGGGCCCGGCACAGTGGCTCATGCCTGTAATCCCAGCACTTTGGGAGGCTGAGGCAGGCAGATCATGAGGTCGGGAAATCGAGACCATCCTGGCTGACATGGTGAAACACCGTCTCTACTAAAAATACAAACAAAAATTAGCTGGGCATGGTGGTGCACACCTGCAGTCCCAGCTACTTGGGAGGCTGAGGCAGGAGAATCGCTTGAACCTGGGAGGCGGAGGTTGCAGTGAACCAAGATCGTGCCACTGCCCTCCAGGCTGGGCAGCAAGAGTGAAAACGCTGTCTCAAAAAAAAAAAAAAAAAAAAAAAGTCTTCTTTGCCAGTAACAAGCCAACCTAATAATGGAGCTAAGTCCTATACAAAACTACAAGAATGGTTTTTGGTTGTGTGTGCCTCTGCCATTGGACATTTTTAATCCCTAGCTGGCCTCCCTGGCCCTTAGGGCACCTTTGAGCCTTCTCCCTCTTTTGCATTTCCTAAGATCATACCAACTGATAAATGTTTTAACATCATACTGACCCAGATATCGACCTAAGAGCTAAGCCTACAACAAAGCAAAAAAAAAGCCTCTGGCGACCAAAACCTAACAGGACTTACGTTCTGAAGGAACCCCACCATCATCCCCCTCCATCAACATGAATAAGAGTCGAGTATAAAATTGCTACTGGCTATAAAAGAGAGGAAACCCACATTCCCCAGATCACCCCAATAAAAACAAATCTGGCAGTTTTAGAATGAGAGAATTGGATGGAATTTTCCTAATTAAACTTATCAAGGAAGTTTTGAAGGAGGAAAGACACGGTTAGCAGGAAGGAAGAAATAATACATACAATAGCTTGGAAATAAGTCACAAATCACACGCAGGAAGCTGTAATGACTTAGGAAGCCTGGCTAGATATCAACTGGGACATGCAGACAGATGGATTATCAGGAACCCTGATGGACTAACAGGAACACCAACTAAGGAAGGGTTCTCGACATTATTAAGAGCTTGGATCTGTTTGAGGTACATGGGGGCCACTCAGTATTCAATCACCATTTATTGAATACTTACCAGTACTTACCAGGTGCTGGGCATGGGGCCAAGTGCTTGAAGTATCCTGACTCATCCTCACCACAACCCTACCAGTTAGAGACTAGTATTCTCTTTTTGCAGATGAGGAAACAGATCCAAAATAGAAGTAATTTGCTCAAGGATTCTATCCCGGGGGGCTCTGGCTGCTGGAAACTGGTGCTCCCCACCACTATGCTGAACTGACCAGGGAAGTCCAGGCATAAAACCTGAAGGTCTGAAGAGGATCTGTAATTCTGGAAAAGAATGCAGAACTGGCAGGCAAGAAGGCCTTGAAGGACTTGAAAGCTATTAGTTTTGGGGACTAAGGATAGAGAAGCTATTAACAAGAGCCTGAGAAAAGATGGGTAAATAAGAGTTATTTTTCTCTGGGAGGCCGAGGCAGGTGGATCACGAGGTCAAGAAATCGAGACCATCCTGGTCAACATGGTGAAACCCCGTCTCTACTAAAAATACAAAAACTTATCTGGGCATGGTGACATGTGCCTGTAATCCCAGCTCCTCAGGAGGCTGAGGCAGGAGAATTGCCTGAACCCAGGAGGCGGAGGTTGCGGTGAGCCGAGATCGCGCCATTGCACTCCAGCCTGGGTAACAAGAGTGAAACTCCGTCTCAAAAAAAAAAAAAAAAAAAGTTATTTTTATTATTAGAAGCCACCGAAACCTCTAAGACAAACTAAGAAAGTGAAGGTGCCAGGCGCGATGGCTCATGCCTGTAATCCCAGCATTTTGGGAGGCCAAGACGGGAGGATGGCTTGAACCTAACAGCTCAAGACCAGCTTAGGCAACATGGCAAAACCCCATCTCTACAAAAATGTTAAAAATTGCTGGGTGTGGTGGCACACACCTGTAGTCCAATCTACTCCTGAAGCTGAGGTGGAAGGGTTGCTTGAACCCAGGATTTTGAGGCTGCAGTGAGCTGTGTTTGTGTCACTGCACTCCAGCCTGGGTGACAGAGCAAGAACCTGTCCTTCAAAAAAAAGGACCAGCCTGGGCAACACAGGAAGACCCTGTCTCTACAAAAAAAAAAAAAAAAAAAAAATGAGGTGAGAGGATTGTTGAGCCTGGGAGATCAAGGTTGCAATGAACCATGATCGCGCCACTGCAATCCCACCTGGGTGACAGAGCGAGAACCTGCCTTAAAAAAAAATGTGGGGCTGGGCGCGGTGGCTCATGCCTGTAATCCCAGCACTTTGGGAGGCTGAGGTGGGTGGATCACCTGAGGTCAGGAGTTCAAGACCAGCCTGGCCATCATGGTGAAACCCCATCTTTAAAAAAAAAAATTAAAAATGTGAAGGTTTGTGGGTCAACTGTCCACAGGTAACTGAAGCTGAGAAGACAGAACAAAGGGTCAGGATCTTGAAAATGCTCAGAGTGAGATCAGAGCTGGGCTGAAAAAACTCAGGAAAATAACTTACCAGAGAGAAAGAAAACTCAACCGTGTGAGATTGCAGAAGTGGGATAAAAGGAAGAGAGAGCCAAAGGGTCTGTGATGCTCTGTGCTCGGGCCAGGAGCGACCTGGGATAGCAGGCTTACCGCATCAGCCCTTCCCCACTGTGTGCAGACCTGCTCTGGCCTCATGATCACAGCTTCCTTCTGTGAGCTCCTTCCTGCCACTCACCTTGATGGGTGTGAGGTGCTGGAAGTGACGGTGAGGGTGCGGGATGAGACCCAGGGGGCAGTCCCACTGGGAGGCAGAGTAAATTCGGATCTCGCTCTTCTGGTCCGTGGTCAGGAGCCGGGCTCCATCCGGACTGAAACAAGCTGGCAAAGTGAAAAGCCCCTGAGCTGAAGGAACCACGAGCCCCCCGTGGTCCTGGCCTGGCAGGCCTTCTCCTGCAGCGATACCCTCCCTCCCACTCCGCTCAAGACAGGAGCGGAAGGGAAGAGGTGAATCTGGGCTGTGAACAATAAAAAGTCTGGAAACTCGGCAGCTGATGGGGACAGCCACACTCACAAAAATTCCCAGACAACAGCTTGGCAGATGCTATCGGGGTAAAGGTTTGACGTAGTGGCTTCCACGCTGAGGGAAGACCCCAGCAGTGGTCAGAGAGGCAGGGTCTGCAGGAGAGATGAGTTCTGGGATATCACACCTGCATTGACAGGATGCCTGTGTGGCAGCGAGTAGAGGAAGCTGGCTTTCCCTCTAACCTGGCGCAGGTCCCAGATTTTCACTGTTTGATCTACGGAGGCTGTGGCCAGGAACCAATCACAGCATGGGTTCAGGGCCACATGCGTCACTTTCTTTTTGTGCATTCTGAGATTCCAAAGCTGCAGAGAAGAGCTCGGTTCAGGTGGGGACACAGAACCGAGGCAGGGGTGAGGGCAGGAAAGGCAGGACATGGGAGAACCCACCTC